GCCCAGCAACCAGCGGCCCGGTAGGACTTGTTCCGCGGACCGGTACCGGTCCACGGACCGGTGGTTGGGGACCCCTGGTTTAGGGGACAATTTCCTGGGAGTCTTCAGGGCCTCCAGATTTTTCTGGTCTGTCTGTCAATTCTTTGAATGGAGCTTTATTCCTTTCTAGTAAGTGCCACCAGGTCAAGAGCACTCAGAATATCGCACATGCCTCTTTCTCCCACACTGCTCACCTGCTCTCAGTCTCAATTATTTCTTTAGCGATGTAAGTGCATGGTTGTAGAACCCTGTTAATTTGTCTGTAACTATATGACTCCCATAGTTACATCACTAGCATCCGCCTGAATAATAACATGGGTGTTTGGATCCAGATGCTTTAACACTGGTTCACCCATAAATAAATGCTTAAGTTTCCTAAACGCCACTAGAATCTAACCCAGCAGTAAATTTCTTGCAAGTTCAGTTTAGTGAAAATCTTCTCATTGACAAGGTAGGCCAGCATGTCCTTCATGAGAGATGATGGATAAACATTTTTCAATCTAGACTACAGTAAGCCCATAGTAATAAATTATTATGAAGGGACCTGTCTTTTTTCTCCTTGGGAGTCAATGTGATCCAAGGGAACAGGTGGAAGATGAGATGGCCAGTCAAGTGGAAGGAGCCCACTGAGGTCCAATCGCCACCCATATCCCATCGATGGAGCAACTGAGGGAAAAGTTTGGCTGCTTGAAGACCCCGGGCAACCTGGGACCATGGTAGTACTAACCAAGACAGGAGGAGTGGATGACCCAATACTAAATGGCACCATCATTGCTATGAAGGCTAGGCTGGAGATTGTGGCATCCTCCTTGGGAGTAGAGCCCTATTGGACTTACAGCCCTATTGGACTCAGGGTGCATGAGATATGTAATTAGCCTCCAGGTAGTAGACAAGCTGGATATAAGACTGAGAAAGCTAAGGCAACCATGGCATTTTCCCAGTTAGATGGCTGAATAACAGTGCCAGTGACCTGCCTGACCAAACCAGTGAAGCTCAAAGCATAGAGACTATTCACTTCATTGTATACCAGCGATGACCGGGCCCATGATCCTGGAGTTAATGTGATGGAAAAGTGGAACCTGGCTCTGAATTGGGACAGAGACAAATAGCAGATACAAAGGGAAGCTGCCAACCAGCAGGGGCTAGTGAAGTCATGCCATGCGCCTGTGGCCAGGAGAGTGAAAATGCAACCTGCTAATACACTAAAGGGAGGTGGTGAGCTAGAGCTGCTGATTCCACAGGAATAACACGAACTAGTTGAGGAGGTCTTCAGCAAACAGGAAGCAGATACATTCTCACCCCAGGTCCATAGACTGCACAATTGAGATCATGCAAGAGGCCAAGCTATACAAATAAAAAATGTACTTGATGGCATCCAGGAAGATGGAAGAGGGAATTTAGAGAAAAGAATCTGGCTAGGGGGTTCATTTAACCAGTAAAGTCAAGGATGGTTGCCCCCATGGTCTTGAAGAAGATGGATCTTTTATGCTATGCATGGACTATAGGGGCCTAAACTGTATTTACATTTAAAACATGTACCCCCTCCCTCATTTGAGGGACATATTAAACTATCTATTCAAAAGGAAGATTTATCTAAGCTGGACTTGAGAGAGGTGTACTACTGAAGAGGATAAAAGAGGGAGACGAATAGACACCAGCATATAATTGCGCCCTGGGATGTTACAGTTTCAAGTGATGCTGTTTGGTCTGCAGGGAGTGCTTGATGTATTCATGCAACTAATAAACAAAGTCCTGCACTAGCACCTGTATAAAGGGGTCTTCGTGTACCTGAACAATACATTAATATACAGCAAGACCCTGGGAGAGCATATGAAACTAGTCAGAGTGGTGCTCAAAAAATTATGAAAAACTCAGCTCTACACAAAATTATCAAAATGTGATTTCCACCCCCTCTGGGCAGTTGTCTGAAGATGTTTGAGCTGATTAGCATCAAGTGGGTTTTTTAACTACAGAGGGTCTGTGAGCTTGGAGCAATTTAGTTCCTCCTTTGGCTCTACTGGAAACAGCTGATTGGCAGCCAGGCAGGAAGTAAGTCAGATCAGATCTTCATTTGATTCAATTAATGCCATTTGATTCAATTAATGAATTTGATTTTTAAATTTTGTAAAATTGAATCAGATTTATTTGATGAATGTTTTGACTTACAAACCTAATGGGCAGGCTCCATTAAGTTCATACCTCGAGGATTACCTGTATGTGGATGGCACCATTGCTTCAGCCGGCCTTGAAGATCATAGAAATTTCTTCAGGAAACACCCAATGTCCCTGAGGTGACATTCACATTTCTTGGAAGACCTCCAAGGCAGGAGGAAAAACATTTCTCTTGTGGATATTTCTGTACTTCTTTATCTTCTATATCTTAGCTGGAGTCTGCCAGCTTGTATGGGTGGAGTGTGCCAGTCCTTCTGGCTGATGAAGTAGATAATTTAGCAAACATATAAGTGTCAGCGTGTTCGGGATTTCTTCTTGCTTTGAGGATCTCATCTTTACTCAGCTGAATAAATGCTTATTGAGGCAAAAGTTATTGAGGCAAATACCTAGACTCTGTCTTCATTTCTATTGAGCCACACCTGAAACCAGCAAAATATTTTTGGGGACTATAGGGCAGGTACTCGGCCCCAGGAAGCCCAAGAGAAAAGCACCAAGTTTCTGGGGTTTCCTGGAGGTACCTCCCTTCTTGACTCTACCAGGGATCTAAATTTTGGAGGACCAGGCTTTATATTGCCTCTATTTGGTTCCTATAAGGCTGATGACTAGGCTAATGACTAGGTAAGGAAGATCATTTTACTTTTTCCCCTTTTCTCTCACCTCTTTAGTCTGTGTTTTGCTTTTGAGTGTTGTGTGAAAGGGTGTGTGTTTCGTCTGAGTTACCCTACCACTGACCAGAGCAGGGTGGACTGGTTGGCCTCACCTAACCCTCCATGTCTGGAAGTGCTTAGAAAGCAAGGGGGGGGGGCAACTCAGTATTCTTGTGATCCAACAGGTTGTGAGGTTGCTGTAGTATAGGAATTCCTCTTATATACTACCTGCTGTTGACCAGACCTAGGCGGAAACCAATGATCTCAGCTGCCCATGGCTCCCTGCTAGGCCATTGTGCCCTTGACCAGAGGTTTCACATTGTGGGAAGAGGGGGATGTCAGTGGATTTCTTGTGGCCCAACAGGTTTTGCAAGGATGTGTCTGGCTTAGCCCAGAGCAAATCTGAAATCAAGATGAGTAAGAATAAAGGATATACCCTCAGCCCTCTTGAGTGTGTTGTAAGGAACTTTTATAAGCTTAAAAATCTGTCATGATATGAAAAACAAAACCTTGGTTAAATACAGTGCTCTTTTGCATCAGGGATCAATTGACTTAGGAGTCTTGTGAGACGATGGGAGACTAAGCCCAAAGGAGCATCGGAAAAAACCAACAGGTTTACCTTTTTGGACCTTGCAAGGAAAGAAACAGATTTTAAAAGACTTATGGTGCCTTCCAGCACCTTAGCATCCTGCTCCTTCTGCTCCCGCATCCTATGATCCTCGCTGAACATCTTTCTACTGGAAGGGGGGAGCTCCAGAATGTCCTTGTTTATACCCCTTTTTTCTACTTCTGATCTCCATGAGTGAAAAGGCAGACTTGGTTCCTACACTGAGCCTCACATAAATACTTTGATCTGATCCTGTCCATTATCTATACTCACAACTCCAATTGGGCAGACCACAAGTCATGTTAGATGTTTTCCTTACATTGGAAGAGAAGCTGCTAAGGAGAGAAATGCCCTTTTCCCTGAGACCAATGCTAAGTTGTCTAGTGAGAGCTATGACAGTCCACATTATGAATACTTGAAAGCATTCCAAGATCTCGTCATTGCCTTGCAAACTGCCATTCCAAAACAGAAGAAACTAGGAAAAATATATCCGCTGCTCTCAGAAAGCCCAAATGACGTTCTTGAGTGCCTTTATCAGGCCTCGGACAGCAACTTGAATCTGAAAGTCTTGGAGAATCACCGTCTGGGGAACATGTTTTTATTGGCCAGAGCACTTCTGATATCGGGACATCAGTGACACACAATGTCTTTGAAAGACCTCCAAAGGAGGAGGATGACTATTTCTGTACTCTTCTGGCTATTTCTCTACTTCTTTATCTTATCTAGAGTATGCCAGCTTGTCTGGTTGAGTGTGCCAATCCTTCTGGATCATGAAGTAGATAATTTAGCAAATATACAAATATGAGAGTCTCTGTGTATTCAAGGTTCCCTCTTGCTTTGAGGGGCATGTCTTTATTCAGCTGAATAAACATGTAAAGCTTATCAAGGCAAATACCTGGACTCAAACAGGGCTGTTTCACATTATTTTCACAGGCCAGGTGTCCTTGAACATACCAATTCTCATACCTCTGTTTCTGTCAGGGCTGTCAGCCCCTCTTCTCTCTCATTGCTACTCTCTACATTCCATTGCCCTGTCTTCCCTCCCTAGCATTTTATGACAGGATGCCAGCAAAGCATAGAAGCTGAAGATGGCAGATCTGACACAATAATTATCAATTTATCTTTATTTATTTTACTAAGCTGGAAGTATTTTCAAAAACACTCTTAGTTTTAGTGCTTGTAACAAACAAGAAAAGCCCATCTGAAATAACATTCATAATCACAATGATTGCAGCAATTACATTTTTAAATGCTACCTAGTTACTAAAAGTTACAATGCAGTAATAAATGTATGTAAGCACATATCAATCTAGTAAATAATACTCTACATTGCTGATCCTGATGATGCTCTTACATTCAATAAAAGCCCCTCATTTCCATCATATGCATATAGTTTCTTAATATAACACACTAGAAATTTATTACAGGAGAATGTAAATAATGTATGCTATAAGCAGATTCCTAGTGTACTGAGAAAGTTAGAAACTGACTCACATGCAAGAACATTTTGATATAGCAGTATGTAGCTCATGTCTCAAAACTCAGCTTTCTCACACATCAAACATAAAAAATTAGAGCAGATTTTGGATTTTGAAAGCTTTAAATTAACTGCTATTTTATCTACTACAATAGATAACATTTGCTTCGTATATTTGCATATGCATTAAAAACAAAAATTCAAATCAAAATAACTAATAAGACCGAATAGCTGGAGGAACTGAAGCACAATCTTCTTCATTCAGAGTTTTATCTATTACAGGTCTATAATCCAGTGTAACCTTTAAAAAAAAATAAGGGTTCATCTTATTAATAAAGTATTATTAATACTATATATCTCATTTACCCTGTACAAATTCTGATTTTACTATTTACATTGATATTAATACATTTACAATTTATTATGATATATTACCATAAATATTTAAAATTTAGCTATGTGAAAAACATTGTAAGAAAGAAATGAAGACTATAAAGAAATATTGCCACATTCATACTGAAATTATATTTTTTTATTTCTGTAATTAAGTAGCATAAATTCTTATATAACAAAATTTTAATTCAAACTTCAGGTCATATTTAACCTTTGGTGAACCTTCATTTTCCAGATCATATATCAATATAATTTTTACCTTTGCTATAAAGTGGCTTAGTAAGCATTAAGGCCATTGAAACCATGCCAAGATAGTTCTACATATATTTCTAATTGCGGGAAGTCAGAAACATATAAGATGCTGTTCACCTAGGATCAGTCCCTTTAATAAATACCATCTAAGCAGGATCAAGAGGTTTTATTTAGCGTCCTACAGAATAAATAAAGATTATTTATCCCAATCTCCTGCCCTATTAGATTTATCCCAATCTCCTGCCCTATTAGATTAGATTAGATTTTCCTTATCTAGCCAATACCCAAGACTCACACACAATGGTACCTTGGTATTCATCCTTAATTGGTTCAGGGAGGCAAATGAATACTAAAAAGGATGAGTATCAAACAAACCATGTCACTTATGTGGCCCTTTGTTTAGGCTGGGAAGGATTTCCTATCTGTCCCTTTTCCTATATCAGTGACCTTCCCAGTATAATCAGCTTCTTGTCCACACTTTGTGGCTGTCCTCCATCCTTTGCAGTGTGTTGAGTACCAAAATATGCTGAATACTGGGATATTTTCACATGAAAATGTGTTGCATACAAAATTCAACAAATTCTGAAGTACTGAGGTACACTGTATTAGAAATTATTATTTAAAGTAAGGCTAGGAGTACAGGTAGCCCTTACTTGATGACTTATTGATCAAAATTGTGATGGATTCAACAAAAAGTTACTTATAATCCATCCTCAAAGTTACAATTGTTGCACCCATCCCCTGGCAACCACATGACCAGTTAGAGTGCTTAGCAATTGGCTTGCATTCATGACTGGCTGCAGAATCTGTCATATGACTGCAATATCTAATGGGCTATTTTGCTCTTTTCCAGCAAAAATGCCCCTTCAGGAAACTGGATCAGCTTAACGACTACATGATTTTTTTTACATTGTGACTCACTTTTTTTTCTATTGTGACTCACTTTGACAATGGTAATAGTAGCAAAATCAAGTGATATCATGTAACCTGATTAACTACAATTAATTATAATTAAAATTTGAAGTCCAACTTTAGTTGTTAAGCAAGGACTATTTGTATTGTAAAGCACATTGGTGACTTTAGAAAAGTGAGATTAAATATGACAATATTTTGATATAATAATGGTTCAAACTAGGCTGAATCTGGCCTGTATCTCCAAATCATCTAGCTTGTAGCCCCAATACGAAATATAGGTAGACTTTATTTAATTACCTTAATTGGGACTGGAATATTTGTTGCTAAAAAAGTAGGTATTATGTAACATATCACATAACTATGTTGCTTAGCAATTGGAGTTCCAGTCATCCCAGTGTAGTTATTAGGTAAGAAAAAATACAATTGTTAGGTAAGGACTTCCCGTTTTTCCTGCCTTATACAAATTGTTGGCAAGAAAACAATGAAGGTCAGCTGGGATTGCAAGGGTTGACAGTGACAGATTATAAAGTAGAGATGGGGGAGAATAGGTGAGTTGGAAGAATTGCATGCATGCTGTGATTATCAATGTAGGCGATTGCCAAATGCCTAAATTTTGACCCCATTATCAAGCAGCTGCTACAACAGCTATAACTTTAAATGGTTCCGATCGAATGCATGTTAAGTGAGGATTACCTGTATATCTGACCTACTATGGTCCTAAAATGAAATTCATGTTTGTAATTCTATTACAAATACTTTCAACATCAATCAGTGTATTCATCTGATCCAAAAGGACAGATCAGCTCGCCATTCACGCCCAAACATGGCCTCTTTTTATCTATGTAAGGGATGCTCAACCCCTGGGCCACAGACAGAACAGGGCTGTGGAAGTCAGTGAAGCTCCATCCATGCACACACAAAATCCAGGCAGTGTGCAAAACCATGCCTCTCGGTCTGCATAAAAACCGCCCTCCATAGAATCGGTTGGGGACCACTGCCCTAAGGTTGGGGACCACTGCCCTAGTGGTTCCTAATTTCTGGTCTAGATCCAATTATGCAATAGTTGAATATGTGAAAGTCACATAGTGACTTTCAGGCTTATACCTTCTCTACCAGGGATACTTCACTATTCAAAAAAAAAAAAAAAAAAGGAAAGATGGAAAAAGACTCAGTTGAGGATCTGACTCCTAAAGGAAAAGCAAGACATGCATATAAATCCTTCAAGCACAGTATTCTGTATTATTTCTAATAATTTATTTAATCATTCCTTTCAAGACCCATGTTACTAGAAGTATTATACAACTAAATAAATATTAAAATTAAAGAAATGTTTTATACCTTCCCGGTCTTCACATCTACGTAAGAGAGTGTGTGTTTTCTCCAATGCTGCTCAAATGGTTTCTTCTGCTGTCCTGGAATTGGTTTAGAATAATCATATTCATCTATCCTAACCTAAAACATAAAATACATGTGAGGGTATATTATATTTTAAACTCCCATTCAGTTAAGATCAGTATTTTTCAAAACAACATAACTAGCTTAACGCACCTTAAATGGTAAATATAATGTTGGTTCTCATACTGATAACAGATTCAAATGTCTGCTAATTAAATAACCCAGCTCTTATATATTTTACAATAACAAAATTGGAAGTGATCTTGAAGGTCTTCTAGTCCAATGTCGTGCTCACGCCCTGTACCATTCTGGACAATGTCCAATCTCTTCTTAAAAACCTCCAGTGATGGAACACCCGCAATTTCTGGAGGCAAGCTGTTCCACTGGTTCTGACAGGAAATTTTTCCATAAGTCTAGGTTGGATCTCTCTTCGATAAACTTGTATCTTTTACTTATCTGGTGCGTTGGAAAATAATTCCCTTTTTTTTCTGTGACAACCTCTCATATACAGGAAGCTTGCTTTCATATCACCTCTAATCCTTCTCTTCGTTAGAGCAGACATGCCCAGTTCCCACAACATATGCTTTAGCCTTCAGTCACCTAATCATCTTCTCTGCACTTTCTACAGTCTCAACATCTGTTTTGTATTGTAGTGACCAAAACTGGATACAGTATTCCAAGTGTGGTCCTACCAGTGGTACTAATATTTAATATGATATTGATACTATCATTCTGTTGATGCAGTCTAGGACTGCATTGGCTTTTTTGGCAGCTGCAGCACATTGCTAGCTCATACTTAAGTGATTGTCTACCACCTATTCGATACCTGTGCATTTGGTTTTTCTTCCCTAAGTGCAAAACTGTACTTTTTTTCACCACTGAATTGCCTTTTGTTGGCTAGGAGCCAATGTTCAAATCTGTCAAAGAACCTTCTGGATATTAAACCTATCTTCTTCAGTGTTGTGCCAGCTTGGTATTGTCTGCAATTCTGATGAGTTTCCTTTCTATCCCTTCATTTAAATCATTATGAAGATGTTGAACAGTACTGGATTTTGGACAGAATCTTGTAGATATAGTTCCATTTAGAACCATACATTAAGTGTGATTGGTTAGCTGGTTATGAATCTATCTGGTGGTGATGCTGTCTAACCCTCATTTTTCTATCTTAACAAGTAGGCTGTGGTGTACCTTGTACTTGCCTTACTGAAGTCCAAGTATACTACGTCCACAACATTTAACTGGACCTCTAATTATTGTAAGACAATAATTTGTCTTATTGGACAAATCCAATAAGATTTATAATCTGTTTTTGACAAATTCATGTTGCTTCTAGTAACAACTTTGCTTATTTCTAATTGTGTGCCGATGTGTTGCTTGATTATTTTTTCCAGGATTCTTCCAGGTACTGATGTCAGGCTGATTTCCTGGATCCATTTTCCTCCTTTTTTGAAGATTCATTTCTTCCTGTGATGATCCACATCAGCTTCTTTCCAGTCCTCTGGTATCTCCCTGGTGCTCCAGCATTTTTGAAAGATATGGTTCAATGGTTCCAAGATCATGTCTATCTGCTCCTTCAGAACCCTGGGGTGTAATCCATCTAGTCCTGATGCTTTGAACTCATCTAGAGTGGATAGGTGTTCTCTTGACTATTTTGACTTGTGTTACTAATCTGTCTTTGTCAAGTTGGACTATTTTTCCTTTTACATAAAGAGGTGCAAAATGAATTAAGCAATTCTGTTTTCTTTCTCCTGTATTTTTTTCTGAACTCTTTTATTGTACTCTCTCACCCTTCCTTTATGCAACCAAACAGAAGACCTTCCACTAATTCTTCATTCAGAATATTGCACATTTGCTCCCAAAACTTTAATCCCATTCACTGGAACATAACACAAAGTCTCCATTCTATGACTTCCTACTTTCATTGTTTGGGACTGAATGAAGAGTTACAGATTCAGGCTCAATCAAGACATTGCATATGTTATGGGCACTTGATATTGACAGAAGCACTGTATTAAAGATGCCTGCAGCACTTATTCTCCACTCTGCACTGGTGGAAGAATTATATTTGGAGCACATTTCCAAAAGATGGTATGCCATTTCTTAAATCAGAAGTGAAATGGTCGCTAAGCTAGAGAGAAAGAGAGAGAGAAGAGACAGACAAAGAACCAGAGCCAGACAGAGATACTGCAAAGGTCACTGGTTGCAGCCATCCATTCAGTGACCTGTACCTGAGCCATTTTTTTATTTTATTTTTGCCCCTTTGTGAAGGGTGGAGTAATTGTTTAAAGCTGTCTCTTCCTGAACTGGTTTTCATCAAGTGCTTCACTAAGTGATAACTGCAAATTAACAAGCTTAGCTCTGTAGCCTTGATTGATTAGAACTCTCTGCCTCCCTGGCACTGCTACTTGAAAATACCAAACTGTAAACAGTTTCACACTGAAGGCTTTTGTTGTCAGATGGATGAAATTTGGTCATAAATGTGTACATTGGTTAGAAAATGATTATTGACTGAGTGCACAGTAAGTTGAGTACATAGACTGGATTTGATATTTTTATCCACCTGTCAAATGCTTCCCAGGAATTGGGAAAGACAAATGATGTTGTTCTATAGTGTTAAAGGTATCAACACAGGATATAAGCCAGGGATGGGATCCGACTGGTATAACTTCCAGTTCTGTCTATTAGTGTCGTGTGCGCATGCGCGAGTCGTGCGAGTGCAATTTACAACCTGCTGAGCTGCCCGGACAGCTGAGCAGCACTGCATGCAAGTACGCAGCGGATGGAAAACCCCTTTTTTCCTGCTTTTTCAACTGTAACTGTGTCGCGCAAATAAAGGTCATATAAAAGCCTGGGCGGGGGGTGGGTGGGCCAAAACGGCAGCAGACATAGAACCGGTTCTAGGCCTGCTGCTCTTCAGAACTACCGGTTCTACAGAAGTGGACAGAACTGGTAGAAACCCACCCCTGATATAAGCTATTCCAAGTAAAGCAACCTTCTGCATTGGACTGATAGTGATTTTGTCAATGCTGGTGATGTTCAAGTGGTGCTCCAGATATTTTAGGATTGGTCCATAGTGCCTATTACTATTGTTATTATCTTTGCTTTCAATTATTATTATTATTATACACAAAAAACAACAGCGTACACAGCAAATGAGATAACTATGCTGGGTTTTGTATCACAAATCACTAGTCGAACACTTCCCAAGTGTTTAGGACTGTGTGATGTATCAGCAGAGTATGCAAGCAGCTCCCAGTAAGGTGGCCTTCTGCAGCTGACCAATTGTGATTTTGTCAGCGCCAATTGTTTTTAAGTGCTTGCCTAGCTCTTTAGGCATAGCACCCAGTGTGTCGAGTACCACTGGAACCACCTGCACTGGTTTATGCAAGAGTCTTTGCAGTTGGATTTTCAAGTCCTGATATCTGGTGATTTTTTTCAAGTTGTTTCTTGTTGATTCTGCTGTCACCAGGTATGGCAATGTCAACGATCCACACTTTTTTCTTTTCCACAATCGTGATATCCAGGGTAGTTTGTGTTCCAAAACTTTGTCAATCTGTATTTGGAAGTCCCACAGTAGTTTTGCATGCTCATTTTCAACCACTTTCTCGGGCTTATGATCCCACCAGTTCTTTGCTACAGGCAGATGGTAGTTGTGACACAAGTTCCAGTGGGCCATCTGAGCGACTGTGTTGTGATGTTGTATGTGGTCAGTCTGAGCCATTGTCTTGCAACAGCTCAGATTGTGAGCGATGGTTTCGTCCGCTTCTTTGCAGAGTCTGCATTTGGGGTCATCAGCAGGTTTTTCTATTCTGGCTTTGATTGCATTCCTTCTGATGGCTTGTTCTTGGGCTGCAAGAATCAGGCCTTCTGTCTTTTTCTTCAATGTTCCGTTGGTCAGCCATAACCAGGTCTTTTCCTTATCTATTTTTCCTTGGATCTTTTCAAGGAACTGTCCATGCAGTGCTTTGTTACACCAGCTGTCAGCCCGAGTTTTTATTGCTGTTTTCCTGTATTGATTCTTGGTTTGCTGCACTTTGAGCAGCTTCCTATTTGTTGACTTCCATCAAAGCTGGTTCAACACCGTCTTTCATGTAATCTGTCAGAGTATGCTTCTCTTCTTCGACTGTCTGCTTCACTTGCAAAATTCCTCTGCCACCTGCTTTTCTGGGTCTGTCATATAGCCTGTCAACATCACTAAGTGGGTGCAGCACATAGTGCATGGTCATCAGTTTTCTTGTTTTCCTATCTAGGCTGTTATTATTATTTATTATTATTATTATTTGTTTCAGTCAACCAGATGTTTAGATTGGATCTGGCATTTTTATCAAGTCCTTCCCATGGATCTGATAGGCAGAGGTTGTTGTTTGATAATATTAAGGATATGGGTAGTCCATGATTTACAATTGTTGCTTAACAGATGTTGGGAATTATGGCAAACTCTCCAAAAGCCACTGCAACACTGCCATTCACCCTTGTGACAGACCACAAGGATGCTTCCCAATTTATCTTCTCCCTCCCTTAATCCTTGAAAGTATTTGCCCAAACAATTCCTAGCAAGACTTATACTGATTCCCACTCCTCCAGGCCTACACACTCCTCCTCACTTACCTTTTAAAGAGCTCCAAAGCCTTTCATAGTGCTGCAATAGGTTGTTTTGTTGCATGGTGCGATACTAGAATCTTGCTGCAGTGCTGTGAAAATCTCATTAAGGCAGCAAAATGGGAATTTGTTTTGTGACTGCCATTTTCTCCCCACCCAAAAGTGGGTAGGGACAAAATGGCAGTTGCTTTTGGGTCACCGCTGTATGGCTCAGGGATAAATTGCTCTATTTTGCTGCCTGAATACAGTTTGCATAGCTCAACAGAAGCTTTCTACTGTTTTCAGAAGTTCTGTGCAGCATTGTGCAACCTTATTAATGAAGCAAAATGTAGAGGTTTGCAAGGCCAACATAGAAGCAGCTCAATTTTGCCTCCACTTGCTTGTAGAAGCGTATGGGGGACAAATCATTCCATTGTGCTGCCTTAATGAGGTTCCTCAGAGCTGCATGATTCAGGAATCATGAGTGACAAAGCAACCTGTTCCATTGCTTCAAAAGTAAGTTGGAGGAGAGTATTTGGCCTAGTGGAGTAAGAATTAAGACTTGAGGAACCTGGTGGTCATGGGAAAATACCTGTGGGGACCCAAGAGGAAGGAAGGAAGCAGAGCATGAGGATGTCTTGAGAGGGCTGGATTAGACTCCATTGCAATCATATCACAGGGACTATTTGTAGAGGATGTAGGAGCTCTGGTGGTATAGTGGTTAGAATACAGTATTGCAGGCAAGCTTGCCCACAGCCTGGAGTTTGATCCTGACAGGGCTCAAGGTTGACTCTGTCTTCTATCCTTCTGAGATCAGTAAAATGGGGATCCAGATTGTTGGGGGCAATATGATGGCTGGATTAGGCTCCATTACAGTCACACTGTAAACCTCCAGGGTTTACAGTGCTGTAAAGCATTATGGGGCTGTATGTAAATCTAACTGCTATTGCTAATGTAAGCTGTTCCAAGTAAAGCAGCTGGTGAAGCATCTTCCCTTCACCTCTCAATGGGGAGGGGGGGGGATAATTCCACAAATGATATCCCCTTACTCATCAGAGACATCATAGAACATGATCAGAAGCATCCAAATGCCATCTTATTTGGTCTTGAAGATACCAACGAATCAGACAACATCACCAAAGTTTGCAATATCATAAGCAACTCCAATACAACAAACATCTCTCCTGAAGATATCATTGAAATAACCAGAGATGGCCCTGAGTTCAAATACAATGACGGCTCGGTAGCCCCAAGATTTTGTAGAGTTGTATGCAAAAATGAGCCCAGCACATGTATATTCATTCATACAATAAACGCTTGCAAAAACCACTCCCAACCATAAAAAACTTCGCTCAAGACCAGACTTATCCATACTGCAAAGAATCTGCTCCTGTGAACTCCGCACAGAACTCAAAAAATGTCTAGACAGTGGAGAGAAGGACCTATACATTGACTACTGTGCTGATTGCATCAAAAGAAAGTCACACAACCCACAACTCCACATCCAACTCTACCTCATCCAACCCACCATCACTCAAAACTAGGCACGCACGCCCCTAACTAACTGTCCTTAAATATCACATTTTGATTCTTACTATGTTACAGAGCCCGATTATGACATCAAACATGTAAACAAATTAAATTCACTATTAACATGGGCAACATCCTGCCCACGTTTTTATCTTTCTTGGTGACCTCAATCTACCTCATATTAACTGGACCCTAAATGAATGTAAAACTGAACCCATACATGCAACCTTCTACAATGCTATAACAAATCTGGGACTGGAACAACTAGTAACCAACAATACTAGACTTAACAACTGCCTCAATCTCATCTTCTGCAATAGTTTGAATTCAATTTACGGAATACAAATTAAAGAATCCTTTTCCAACAGTGACCACAACATGATTGACTTTTGTCTCAACATACGTCCACACAAAAATCATCATAACGACAGGATCCCCAATTAAAACTTCAAAAAAGGCAACTATGATCTTATAGACAACAATCTCTCATCTCTTGATTGGCAACTTCTGTTCACTGGATGCAATACTGTTGAAGACCATTACAACATATTTTTACTTGAAGTCAAAAGAGTCATCAAGCTATATGTGCCAATAACAACTCCCTAAAACCAGAAAAAACAAATTACCCATAACAATAAGGAAGCTCCAATCCAAAAAGAAATCACTTTGGCGGAAAAACAAATCTGGTCACGTTGACAACTTCAAAAGCCGATACAAAAATTTATGCCATCAGATAAAGACTGAATGCACCAATTATCACATTAAACAAGAGGAAAACCTTCTACACACCAATTCCACCCGCACTTTCTACAATTTTGTAAACAACAAACTAAAAGACTCAAGGTCCATCCCACCCCTGAAAGGACCAAATGGTAAAGACTGCAACGATGACACCATTAAAGCCAATCTCTTTAACATATTCTTTGGCTCAGTATTTGTAAACAGCATGCCCAATATTTCCTAGTCGAACCATAGACAACTACAATGATCTAATACATATCGATTTTACAGAAGACAATGTTGAAAAAGCACTACACAATCTCAAACCATCTCTATCTATTGGATTGCATGGAATATGTGCCTACTTCTTAAAAAAGCTATCCACTGCCATAGCTGAACCTCTAAGCATAATCTTTGGAAAATCTTTCAGAACCAGCTCCTTGCCAAACCTATGGTCACTAGCCACGGTCATCCCCATCTTCAAAAAGGGATCCCTCAAGGCAGTGGTTCTAGGACCAACTCTCTTCATACTCTACATAAATGACCTGTGATCATATTACGAGCAACTGCATTCTCTTTGCTGATGATGTAAAGCTATTCAACACCACAGACAATACTGCTACCCTTCAAAAAGACCTCAACTATGTATCAGAATGGTCAAACAAATAGCAATTTCAAATTTCAACTAATAAATGCTGTCTTACATATTGGCAAAAAAAAAAGAGAGAAAATAAAATACAAGCTGAATAGTCAAGACTTTGTTGATGATCCAAACTCTGTCAACGACCTTGGAGTACTCATCTCTAATGATCTAAGTGCTAAAGCCCACTGTAACTACATAGCCAAAAAGGCATTAAGAGTTGTTAACCTAATCCTGCGTAGCTTTTTCTCCGGTAATATCATACTACTAACTAGAGCATACAAAACATTTGCTAGACCAATACTTGAATACAGCTCATCAGCTTGGAACCTGCATTATGTATCTGACATTAATACAGTTGAGAAAGTCCGGAAATATTTCACAAGAAATGTTCTCCAATCCTCTACTCGTTGTAGAATACCTTATGCCACCAGACTTGAAACTCTAGACCTAGAAAACCTAGAACTACGCCACCTTCGGTCCGATCTAAGTATAGTATATAAAATCATACATTGCAATGTCCTACCTGTCAATGAATACTTCAGCTTCAACCATAACAATACAAGAGCACACAATAGATACAAAGTCAAGGTTAACTGCACCAAACTTGATTGCAGGAAATCCGACTTCAGCAACAGAGTGGTCAATGTCTGGAATAGTCTACCTGACTCTGTGGTTTCTTCCCCAAACCCCAAAAACTTTATCCTTAGACTGTCTACTATTGACATTATCCCTTTCCTAAGAGGTCTGTAGGGGGCGTGCATAAGTGCACCAACGTTCCTACCGTCCCTGTCCTATTGTTTCTTTTTATTTTTCTTCTACGTATCCTTTTCATGTATTCATAACTATGTTTATATTTATACCTGTTACCTTATAATCGCTTAACAAATAAAATAAATAAATAAAAATAAAAATAAATAAACTTCAAAGTAGCTAAATGGAACCTTTGTGACAGTATAGATGGATGGGTAGGTAGGTAGATAGATAGATAAATAGATACACATTCATATATACATGGTTAGCTAGAGGTTAAAAAATAAGTTTGTAGACATTTTCTATAATAAATGCCTCTTTGGGAAAACATTGAAGACAGCCATGCTCTCCTTTTGGTGGTCTGTACCATTTCGCAAAAGAATCCTTTCTAAGAAATATGAAACACATTAAAGTGATCAAGATAATGACATTATGTATTTTTATAATTTCAGTGACAGAAAACAGTGTGTTTAGACACATTCTTAAGCTATTACAATACAATATAAGTACAGTTTCTTTGATAGAGAAATAGGCATTGAGAATAGCTCTATCAAAAGTACAAACCTTATATTGCCTACATGAAGAGTATTTATGATAGCAGTTGAAGAAATAACTTCTAAATAAATATGTACCTTATAGTCCTCCCTTGCATGAGCTCCACGTGACTCTTTTCGAGCTTCTGCTCCATAAATAGTTTGTAAACCACATAGCATGAGATTTTGTAGTTCCAAAGTCTCTACCAAGTCAGTATTCCAAACAACACCTATAAGTACAACAAAAAGTATGAAGCAGTTTTAGAAATTATAGGGAGAAAGAACCTCAGCAGATTCACCAGATTCTTCCTTTGGTATAATGTAATAGTACTAGCACAGAAAGCAGAAAGAAGCTTAATACTTTTTTAAGACTCAAAAGCAACTTGATAAATATATTTAGCAATCAATACTGAACACAAGGCATACTTCTGAGTAGGGAAATTAATTGTGAATTTCTCATGTATGAGGGGGTTTCTAGGCTGCAAGAAAGAAAACAAAAAATCTCCAAAAGCTGAACAGCTTTCCAAATGACATTTTCAATAGTATAGAAACAAGTTATATCAGGACCCGAAAAGCAGCAGCAGGCAAGGAAAACGAAGATGTAGTTGTATAATTGCCTCAAAGATTTCATTTCTATGATGCCACATCTGCTGCAGTACTTGCAACTCACCCAATACCAAAAGAGGTCGGGTAATTGCTATGATAATGAGGAGAAACCATTCTTAAAATAATTTATCCAGTGAATAAAAAGAGTATTAACACAGTTGCACAAATACCTTCAAATTGCATAAATTATAATTTCAGCCTTTTCTGCCACAGACTTTATTTTTAGAATTTTCTACAAATCAGGATTGGAAGAAGCTATTTAAGTCACTGATTTCAACCCTTCTCAGTGAAGGAATCTAAATTAAAGCAACATGAGCAGTTGGTTGTTTAACTTCTGTTTGAATATCTGCAACAAAGGCAAACCTATCATATATTTTTTTAGTAATTGGTCCCACTGTTTTTCTAAACTTTCAACCAGAATCTGTTTCCTATAATTTAAGATTACTGTGCTAGGACTGTAATGCATAGGTAGTCCACAAGTTGCAACCGTAATTAAGTCTGGCAATTATGGTAAAGTCATGACAATCATAAAGCGAGTAATCACATGACTAGACCCAATGTGAAACATACCATATGGTAATAAATGGAGGTGGGCTGCCAAGGATACATTTCAACTCCCTCCCCATTATCTCCTTCCAGCTCTGCCATTTTGGCCACCCTGCATTTATTTAATTAATTTATACTGCCGCCTATTCGCCCATGGCGACTTGAGGCGGCTTATACAATGTAAAACTATATTTAAAACAAAAAATAAAAACAAAGACAATAAATACTAACAAAAAGAATAAAATAAATTAGTAAAGTACAATAGAACAAAATTTGGGAAAACAAAAAACAAAACAAAAAACAAAACAAAAACCAACTCCCAACCCCTGCCCCAACGACAGCAGATCACACTAGCCACCTGATTGGCTCCATTCCTCTCTGGGTTCCCCAGGCCCGCTGGCAAAAACAGGTCTTCAGTGCCTTTTGGAAAATTATTAGTGAGGGGTCCATTCTAATCTCTGGGGGGGATGATGTTCCAGAGACGGAGCCACCACGGAGAAGGCCCTTCTTCTGGGTCCCACCAGGTGTATCTCCGTCAGGGATGGGACCTGCAACATTCCCTGCCTCCTCATTCTAATGGGTCGGGTAGATGTTACTGGCAAGAGATGTTTCCTCAGATAATCCGGACTCAAGCCATGAAGGGCTTTAAAGGTGACAACCAGCACCTTGAATTGAATCTGGAAGCAAATTGGCAACCAAAGCAGCTCCTGCAGGAGAGGTGACACATGTGCACACTGGGGTCTGCATAAAACCATGCAGGCCGCTGCATTTTGCACCAACTGGAGCTTCTGGATGCTCTTCAAGGGCAGCCCCATGTAGAGCGTGTTGCAATAATCAAGACGAGAAGTGACCAGGGCATGAGTGACTGTGAGTAGGGACCGCTGATCCAGGAACGGGCGTAACTGGTGCACAACCCGCAGTTGCACAAAGGCCCTCCTGGCCATGACCGCCACCTGCTCTTCGAACAGGAGTTGTGAGTCCAGGAAAACCCCTAGATTATGCACAGGATCTGTTTGGGGTAATGCCACCCCATCCAAGACTAAAGGTGGTAATTCTCCCTGAGCCAATGAACCCTAAACCCAGAGCCATTCGGTCTTGCAAGCGTTCAATTTCAACCCGTTGTTCCCCATCCAGCCCCTAACAACCTCCAGGTACTGTGAGAGGGAAGATACAGCAACACTTAACTCACCATGGGCCAAGACATACAGCTGAGTATCATCAGCATATTGGTGATACCTCAGTCCATAGTGACAGATGATCTCACACAGCGGCTTCATATAAATGTTGAACAGGAGCGGAGAGAGTACTGAGCCCTGCGGATCCCCATAAAGCAGTGGGCGAGGGCTGGATCTCTCCCCTCCTAACAACACTGACTGAGAGCAGCCGCAGAGGAAGGAAGTGAACCAAGACAGCACAAGGCCTCCCACTCCCATCCCCCGAAGCCATCCCAGGAGAATCCCATGGTCAATGGTATCAAAAGCTGCCGAGAGGTTAAGTAGAGCAAAGATGGATGCACTACCCCCATCCCATTCCTGCCAAAGATCATCTAAAAGTGTGACCAATGCTGTTTCTGTCCCAAATCCAGGCCTGAATCCTGACTGGTAGGGCTTGAGATAATTTGTTTCATCCAGAAACCCCTGGAGCTGCTGCACAACCACCTTCTCAACCACCTTCTCCAAAAAGGAAAGATTGGAGATAGGTCGGAAATTATCCAACCGGGTGGAGCCCAGCGATGGCTTCTTAAGAAGATGGTGGACCACAGCCTCCTTAAAGTGCTGGGGCATGGTCCCCTCCTGTAGAGAAGCATTAATCACTGCCAGACTCCACCCGCCTGTCATCTCCTGGGAAGCTTGCACAAGCCAGGAGGGACATGGGTCTAAAATACAGATGCTCGCGCGCATACTCCCTAGGATCCTGTCCACTTCCTCAGGAGCAACAGGGTCAAACTGTTCCCAGATAATAGGGCAAGAACCTGCCTCAGGAGCTTCCACCGGATCAGCAACCACGCCGGCATCCAACTGGGAACGAAATCAAGCGATTTTGTCTTCCAGAAAATCCGCAAATTCCCCAGCGTGCCCCTTCAGGTGGACCTCAATCTCCCCCTTCCCTAGGAGGAGATGGCTCACCTTAAAGAGGGTCGCTGGGCGATTATCTGCAGATGCAATTAGTGTGGAGAAGTATTTACACTTCGCCTCACGAATTGCCACAAGGTAGGCCTTAGTAGCAGCTCTTACCCGTGTTCAATCAAGTTCATCTCCTGGATTCCACCAGCGGCACTATAGACATCTTCTCATGCATTTCATCCTTCTCAGTTCCTCTGTATACCACAGGGCACAGAGAGGTCTACGGGTGAAGAGAGGTCGCAAGGGTGCAATCCTATCCAGAGCCTCAGTCATCTTCCTATTCCAAACAGTGACTAAGAGCTCAGCTGGACTGCATAATAGATCTGTAGTTATAACCCCCAGCTCCTTCTGGAACCGATCTGGGTCCATTAGTCAATGGGGGCAGACCACTCTAATAGGCACTGCCTCCCTGTGGGGGGATGAAGCTTTTGAGAAACTTATTGCCACCAAACTGTGATCTGACCATAAGGGGACCAAGGACAGGTCTACCAATTTCAGGTCACATAGACACTGCTCCAACAAGAACACCAAATTGGGAGTGTAACCACTATTACTAGTCGGGCTCTGGATATTCTGGGACAGGCCCATGAAAGTCATGGTTTCTATAAAATCTTGGGCCATCTATTTAGCCATCTACCCGTTACTCACTACTGCCCAGTTGAACTTCACAATCTGCAAGGCCTTTGTGATCCCCGCCTATCTCACCTCATCTCTTCCCTTTTGGCCATCCTGTACGCTACTACTACCTATCCACTGCCATCGCCAATTGACCTTTGTCCTACATCACTTCTTCCTCAGTGTGACAGCAGTGACAGCACTGGACTTGCTACTGCCGCCCCAGATGTTGGGTTTTCTGCTACACATTTCCTTGTGCATACCGCTTTTGCCTGCTGAGCCTTGAAGTAACTCACTGCTACCTCCTGGCTGTGGTGTTACAAAACAGCTGTTTTTCTATGAGGGGTTGCTCCTCCTAAAGGCCAGCAAAAGTGAGACAGGTGCAAGCTGCAGACTGTGACATGGAGCATCCACATCCCAGCTAACAAACCCCTGCTTGGTGTAGGTTATACTCATCTCCTCTGCAGATGCTCCTCCCTGACTTGTGACAGGAATCCTCGGTACTCTCCGAACTTGGTTGTTTTCTTGTAGACAATTCATTACCCAAACTAGGTATCATCATCATCATGAGAACTAATGATATTACCTAGTTTGGGTAATGAGATGTCTGCAAGAAAATAATCAAACTCAGAGGACACCAAGGATGCCTCATTTCAACCCGGAGCTATAATATTCTGCATTATTGGTGACAGGGCTGGTGGTTCCTGACCCTGTCCTTGTCTTATCTCTACCTCTATCTCTACCTCTGCCTTTTCCATTTTTGTTTTTAAAGAAGGAAATCAGCAATGAATACTGTAAAAAGTTTTGTTTCTTAAGATATCTGGAATAAAAATAAAATATAATTGCTAAAATATGTAGTTTATTCCAATTTAAAACAAAGGTTGAGGAATATATGATAAAGTGGATTAAAGGCATTGATTACAATATACACATGGGAATGATGGGAAAATATGTGCTTGAAAGGATAAAATTTATATTGTTATAAAGAGAATTTTTATCCAATGATATACTGTTGTATATAATACTAAAAACATTATCTGGTACTATGTTTCCCTGAAAATACGACCTACCCCCCAAAAAGTAAGTCCTTGCTTGATTTTTTTTTACATGTGCACCCAATATAAGTCTTACCCCCCAAAATAGTCTTAAGAAAGACCCTACCCACTCCAGCATGCATGGGTAGAAAATAAGCTAGGGGGGTGGAGCTGCCCTTCTACTTACCTTCAGACAGTTGCAGGAGGCCTCACACACCCTGACACCTGCCTTGCCGGCCCATTTCTTCTGCAATCGGCAAGGCTTTCCTGAAGGCCTTTGCAGCTGATAACAGAGCTCTAGATCAAACCAGAGCTCTATTATTGGCTGCAGAGGCTTTCAGGAAAGCCTTGCAGGCCTTGCCAGCAAAAGAAGTTTCTGAAGGCCTCTGACAATGAAAAGGAGCCCGGGGGCGACATGCAGAAGTGAGATGAGTCAGTGGATGACATCCCCCATCCCTGAAAGACCTGGTGCCTTTTTTGATGGAAAAAATATAAGACAGGGTCTTATTTTGGGGAAAACACAGATATGTGTAAGTGTACTTCAAATTTATGCTGGAAATGTGAACAAGGATAATTTTATCATGATGTAAAAAACTAGATAATATGGGGCTCAAATACAGAGATTTAGAGGATTTTAAAGGAATATTCAACTTTTAATCTTTAATCTTAAATCAGAACTTTCCTCCCTGAGACTGAAGGTAAGAGCTAAAAAAGAGCCATGGAACATTGTTTTTATAATTGATATTTGATAACTGCAGCAAAATTATTGAATGCACAAAGATCTTTATCTACAATACCTACAATAAAGTAATAGCTGATGAAGATGACAGAACTTGCTGAAATGGCTAACCTGACTTATTTGGTTAAAGACAATATGTTTCGTGGTGACTGAAAATCCCTTATGGATTTTTTGCATAAAAAAGAAAAATGAACTTAAGATCTACATTTTTGATGATTAGACAGAATATAGCCCTGATGGCAAACCTGTGGCACACAGCATTATCTCTAATGGCACGCGAGCCATTGTCCCAGTTCAGCTCTGACACATGCGCGCGCACCTCCCAACAGCCAGCTGGCCTTTAGGTCTCTGCCATGCATGCACGGGAGTTCTGCCTACATACTTACCTCTGCCTGTTGTCATCTGTCTGGCTGCAAGTTTCCTAATCAATTCCTAATCAGAGTTAGGATAGATGGCAGAGTGCAAGGGAGCCAAAAGGACAGAAATGGTGGGAAGAAGCAATGAAAATTTGAAGCAGAGGTGAGTATGAACAGCATGAGGCAGGAACAGCATGAGAACTACACCTAATAATGATCCTGGTCCTGGTCTAACAACTGCAGCGAAAATTGCTGGAACTGCTGTTGGTAAGTGGTGTAGTCACATGCTATTTCATCTAGCAACCTCTTTGCTTAGCAATGAAAATTCTGATCCCAGTTAGGATCTTTTTTAACTTATTTTTCTACAGCTTAATATTGAGAGAAAATTATAAGTTACACTTTTATAATGAACATTATATAGCAAGATTAGAAAACTCTTTGGTTCATTTTGTATATGAAATAAACTAGAAGATTCTTTTCTTTCATTCCTTTTTGATGTGCCCTTACTAACTTCATCTTTGCATGAAACCCCCCCCCCCCACTTTTGTTGTTTCTACTGAAAGAAGTTATCACCCAAGCCAAAGAGGAGCTAAGATCCTGGCCCTGGTCATTCACATATAGACGATACATTCCACAAAGACACGATACATTGTTAGAACAACAGGAAGATCTGACCAGGCTAGGGAGAATAAATAAGATAAGAACATACATCAGCTTGGCAGCCTAGGAAGATAAAACATTGAGGCCCAGGAAACAATGTCCTGATGATCCCAAGTTGGTAGTTTAGCATACAGAAAATAAGGAGGTGTAAGGGGAGGGCTTTTTAGGCATGGCTTGTTCTGTGCTGGGATATAAAATGTATTGTTAAAGTCGTGAAATTTGCTCTCCTTGTACTCAATCCAATTGAGAAGGGTCTTGGAGGCCGCACTTGCAACCGCTTTTTCTTTCCTACAATAAACCTTTGAAATTGTGAACCAGAGACTTGTCTTCGTGTTCTGAATATTGATATAATAATAATTTGGGTTTTACATCTCACGATATATTTAAATAATGATGCAAATACATTTAGGTTAATTGGATAAAATAATTTACGAATTTTCACACATCTATGAAGTCTGTATTGAAACAATACCTCTATCAAATGTTTTCAGATCATCCAAATCTTTATAAATTCTGGACATTTTTTCACAGCCTTCTTGTAAGACAGGGCCTGTACGGAACACAGCAGCATGGCTTTGCATTGTCTATAAAGAATGAAGGAGCAATATACTTCAATTTATTTTCTTTGATAACTTTAAAGTAAGAATTTAAGTTTCTACATTTGCCAAAATAATTATGTCAAAGCTCACCCACAGACTTTTAAGACAAATATATAGTTGTTTTCAGCACCTATAAACTACTAGTTAGAGGTGATTGGTGTTCTGACCCAGCCTTCACAAGCCTCAAATCTACTTATGAGGAAACCCCCCTTTTTATTTAGAAAGGCAGGAATTCACGGCATTCACTAACAAAGCTCCAGGTCACATCTCCACAGGTGATTTACAAGCTGTAACAGTCTCTTAGTTTCCCCACAGGGAGCCTCAATTATCACTTCAATTCCAACACAGAGTCCTGACTGACCTGGTTAGTGGCAAGGAAATCCTGGCAAGGAATCCACCAGAGGGAGCTCTTCTGGAGTAATGCCTCTCATACTGCTCCTCTTTATATCTCAGCAGGAGAGGGGCTTGTTAATGTCTCCTTCTTTTCCTGAATAGCTGGCCCTCAGTCCTGCATTGCATACGCACATCTGGAACAGGGTCCAGCTGTTCCTCCTCCAGCTCATCTCAGGCCCTGAAAACAGCTGTCTCTCTGCCTGAGTGTGACTAGATGGGCCCTGCTCTGCATCTGGCTTTGAGACCTCCTGTCCCTCAGAACCTTCTTCCGGCTTTGATGGTAACCCAGATCATCCCCTCCATCTCCTCTGACTCATCTAACTTGATTGCCATTTCTTTGGCAGTCGAGGAACCACAACAATTAGAATCAAACTTCAGGTACTTTTCAGAGGCTCAATTATCCAATTATATTCTCAAATTCATTTTTGCACAAAGTTATGTCTAAATTCATATGAAATGGATATTTCATATTCTACTAAAGCTTCCAACAGCAGTGTACTTTTTTCTTCCCATACACAGAAATTGTTCTGTGAAGAATATTTTCTGAGATCTCATTTTTTTATATGTTGTCAGTTTCAGACTATAATCTACAGATTTTTTGACAAACAGCCAAAGCCCCCTAACAAATGGACCATTAATCAAAACAACACAGAGTTCTTACTTGAAGCACAAATAACTAACCCCAAATTATCATACTTTGGATTAATTAAGCAAAAGACCTAACTCTATAGAAAAGTTTATAATACTAGGAAAGATAAAAGAAAAGATGACTAGCAGCAACATGGACTGGAATCAGTTACAGCGATGAGATACACAATTAGAAGACCTGAAAAATCAGATCATCCTGGAGAAATCTATATATGTGGTCCCTAAGAATCAACATTAACTTGTTGACCCATAACTAAACAGTATATAAGAATTCTTATAATATACTATCTTTTACTAGACTATATACAAAACATAAAATTTATTTCATCATTTATTAAAAATATCTACAAAGTCAATAGCAGCTAAAATCACTATAGAACAGTGATCCCCAACCTTTTTGACGCCGCAGCCCGGTACCGGCATCAGCTGGGCGCCGCGGCCCGGTACCGGCATCAGCTGGGCACCGCCATCTTTTTTTGATGAAAATGTGCTTCCGGTGAGCTTTCTACCCGGAAAAGCTCACCGGAAGCACTTTTTCATGAAAAAAAGATGGCGGCGCCCAGCAAGCCAGCGGCCCGGTAGGAGTTGTTCCGCGGCCCGGTGGTTGGGGACCCCTGCTATAGAAGATAGCAGGAGTGTGTTGTGGTTCTGTGCAAGAAAATAAATCTCCCTTTTTTTAAACAAACTTTTCCAAAACTTATGGGATATATATTTGTATCCTGAAAATCCTCCATGCAGCAAACAAGCAATATTATTAGAATCCCATAAATCATTAGACAGCTGAGATATAAGAAGTTCAATTTAGGGAACTCTGGGACCAAACAAACTTCAATTTAAGTTGCTGAACCCAACAACCATATCAAATTAGGCCTCGATAATTTATCAATGTTTAGATTATAAATAGAATCATTGGTATTAAATTTGGAAAAGTCAAGGGTAGATTTTTTTTGGGAAAAATATTTAGAACATTCTGAAATTGAGTTAATAATTAATTACGTGCTGCAAGTTGAGATTAAAAGCCTTTCCTCCAATCCAAAGATCTTACTTACTTTTTGCATATTAAGTCTCAGTTCTGATGTTCTTACATTTCCATTGGCGAAACGCAATTTGTCAAGATTTGCAACAGATTCTTCACCTGCATTTGATTTAATTGATGGAGCTGATTCCCCTAACAAAAATAAACATAAATTATTTAACTGCATAGTGTTTCTTTGCAGGGAGAAAATATAATATTAATAATTATTATTACCTTTATTGTCAGAGTACAACATATGTACAATGAGATTGGCTGAGCCTCCCTTCGTGCACCCCCCCCCCCCAACACAACTCACAGTGAGGACAGAAGTCCCTAACCCAGTCCCAATCTTATTACACTATGTGATCTTGTTGCACAACGCGCCAGCCCCGCAAATCTATCATACTATGTTGACATGAAGTTATTTTCTGTTCAGAAGTCTGATAGCCCACAGGTAGAAACTGTTCTTCAGCCTGTTGGTGCGGCTGGCTATGCTTCTATATCTCCTAACTGATGGCAGGAGAGTGAAGAAGTGCTGACTGGGGTGTGAATCGTCCCTGAGAATCTTACTCACTCTTCTAAGCCCTAGCAATGTCATTTAGTGGTATCAGGAAACAGCCCACAATGTTTTGTGCAGTGCTCACCACCCTCTGTAATGTCTTTCTATCCACGGCCAGCATACCTCACCGTAATGCAATATAAGAGGACGCTTTCTATTGTGGACCAGTAAAAGGAGGTTTAATAAAGGAGTATATTTGTAGTTCAGTGTTGATGAGAGAAATTCTTGGTGCTTATTTTCTTGCAGGCGTTTCATTACCCAAACTATGTAATATCATCACTGATGATGTTACTTAGTTTGGGTAATGAAACGTCTGCAAGAAAACAAGCAAGCTCAGAGAGCACTAAGAAAACAAGCAAGCTCAGAGAGCACTTCAAAGATAATATTACCCATATTCCCATCTATCTCATAAAAATACAGAAGAATCCATTCTTTATGACACTTACAACTTACAATTTGTACTGGCCACTACCATTCAAAGAAAATGGATTATAAATCTATTCGTGGTGTAAAGTTAGTTATTTAATGGATTGCCCCTTTTCATTAATTTCTGTCCAATCCATTCTGATGCAATTAGCATGTTCTAGACTACGTAGTTTAAATTTGTTTGTTTGCTGATTTTGGAAAGCATAGAGAATTATGTCTTTAGCAGCCAAGCTCCCAAATAACATTAGATGACATTAGATAAGTTCATTAGAGGTAATGAGAGTAACCCACCCCCATCCCTAAAATACCCTGTGCTCAAATTAATGACACATATATTTGTTTAACAAATGCATTGGGAAGAGCAAGGATAACTAGTTGTTACTTGAGGCAGTTGATTTAACATTTGTTCTGACTTCTGACCCCAATGGGCAGGCTCCATTATGGTCATAACTTGACAACTACATGTAATTTTCAATGACATAAATGAAGCATCCTTAATTTTTAAGTGTGTTACAAAATACAGCATTGCAAAATTTAAATGTTAAATGTACCCATTTTAAATGTTAAAAACTAAAGAGACTTACCAGGTTTGCATATTTCTGCAATGGTAAGAGCACAAGCACGACCAAAGACTACCAAGTCTAAAAGTGAGTTTGCACCAAGTCGATTAGCACCATGAACAGATGCAGAAGCTGCTTCACCACAAGCATATAAACCAGGCACTATTTGATCTTTGCCATTTCCACGTGTAATTACCTGTCAATATATATATACATATATATGCACAAATGCATATAGACAAGACGTGGCACCTTATAATAAAAAATATTGTCACTAGATTAAGGTACAAGAAGAAAACTAATGAGAGTGTTTGTTTTGATATACTGTCAAAGCTTTAAACAGTGTATAAAAAATAAACATCTAGTCTATTAATATTAAAATTCAATAGTGAGATGGACAATATATAAATGTAATAAATAAACAATTGTTTTGAAATTACCTGTCCTTTATAGTTTGTAGGGATACCTCCCATATTGTAATGCACAGTAGGTAGGACAGGAATAGGTTCTTTTGTGACATCCACACCAGCAAATATCATAGCAGTTTCTGAAATCCCAGGAAGACGCATTGCTAGTTGCTGTGGTGGCAAATGGTGCAATTGCAAGTAGACGTGATCATTGTCAGGACCACAACCTCTGTTGTTATTTTAAAAAGATATGTTAAATAGAGATTAAAAAAAAAAATTCTTACTACTTATTTAGATATAAACATAAGACCAACAAATATTTATGTAAGAGAATTGTGTCAAGTGTTTGCAAACTATACTTGATTTGATTTTGGTAGCTACATTTTTTAGCTCTCTTAAATTCTCTTAATTTTAATTGTTTTGTCTTACATTTTTTTACTCTTTACTATATTGCAAGCTGCCTAAAGTTACTGTATCCATGAAATGGGCAGCATAAAAATTAATAAATAAATATAAAGTTCAAATACAAGTATTCCCTAAAAAAAAAACAAATGAACAAATTTGCAAAAGGGATGTGCAAAAGGCTTTTGAAATATTCTAAACTCAAAGTAAAAATTCCAAGTGTCTAAAAGTGAAACAAAACATAAGCGTTTTAAGAGTTCTGTTTCAAGAACAGGATGTTTTGTTTCAAGTTAATTTGGAATATTCTGATTGATCACTGCAGTTAGAATGTTTTCTGGCTTATGATTGAGTTGCTCAGTCATAATTAATGTTTAATACAGTAACACAGAATGACATCTTTACATGTATTTGACATCCTTACACATACATGTCTTCTTTTCTTCCCTTCTTGATTGATCCAAGATGGCGCCGATGATGGCTGCCTCGGTGAAATGCTCTAATAGTTTCTTTATTCTTTATTATTATCTGCAATTCACTACGGATTTCATATTCACGAGACCATCTGCTAAGAATTAGGCAATGTTTCCTTAAGGAACAGCTTTCTGATTCCTCACCCCCTCCTGTCTTTGCAAACATGGAGGAGATTCTAACTAATTCCCCGGTGCTATGGATTACAATAAACAAAGGAAAGAAGCAGCAGCGCCGAAAAAGGAGACGAGGTGAACGAGCGGGAATTTTAAACAGACTAAGGAATAGGGGGGAAAAACTCCCTCTCCCTTCAACTTTTCTGACTAATTTACACTCACTTGCTAACAAGATGGATGAAATACATCTTTTAAATAGATGGAATTCTGATTTCTACAATTTAGCAGTTCTGTTTTACTGAAACCTGGCTTATTGCACAAATTCATGACAACACCATATACATCCCAGGATTTCAGATATTTAGATCAGACAGAATTGAAGAGACATCAGGTAAAATAAAAGGGTGGAGGATTTAGTTGATTAAAGATTGACTGGTGTTTTGGACTTGTTCTGAAAAATTTGGAGTTGGTTTAGACTGATTATCTAGGAATTTGGAGTTTAACCTGATGGATCTGTGACTTGTAAAAGAAGAACAAAAGTGGAAAAAAAGTGAGAGACAGGACGAAACCCAAGAACAGAAGTTACATTTTGAGATTATAGAGAGAGAAAAGAAGCTGATGTAACAGACTGTGACTAAACAAAACGTGAATGGACAAGGAAAGGAAAGTGATTGAATACTACTGGACTTATTTTTATAGAATATAATTAATGAAATAACATTTTGATTAAGGTTTGATTGAATTGATTGAATTTATTAAGAATTTAAAAGTTTAAAATGACATGAAACTGTGAAAACTGGTGAAATACTATTTTGATGATTATTGATTGACTGATTACTAATAACTAATGAAATAAGTAAGGTCATATATATAAGAAGTGGAATATAGAATTGTTTAAAGGAAACCGAACTTTACAATTAAAGATAAATAATACAGTTGATATACCATAATATAGTAATATAAAATAGTTGTATAAGAATAATTTACAGCAAGTATATTTTAGGATATTATATTACACTCTTTCTCTCTCATTTTGATATTATCCTTCCTGTCATCCCTTTTGCTCTCTCCCTTCTTCTTTAATTTTGGTGATTCAGTTAGTTTCAGATTCTATAAAAGATTGAATCAAATCTGAATAATTTAGAACATCATAAGTGGGAAAAGATATTTATATTCTAAGGGAAACTACTGAATAGAACAAATAACAAAAGAAAAATTAAATAGTGAATGGTAAAGTGGGAAGATATCTACAATAAAGTTAGGAATATGACCAGTACTACAACAGTGAACCTGAAAGGGAAAAAACCGATGTCTGGTTCATCAATGTCTATTGCATCTCCAGCGGGCCAAAAAACAATAGAAGGAATGTTGAATACGGAAAAGATGAGCAACACGGCCAACATGCAGACGATGCAAGCAACATTAACAGCTATTCAGGAAACGATACTTAAAATGCAGGAGACAATGGTTAATAACCATACAGATATGAAGATGGAAATGGGAGAAATGAAGGGTAAGATTCAAAATTTAGAGAAGAAGATGGGAACGATCCAACAGACACTGGAGAACAATGAACAAAGAATAAAGAATATAGAAACTAAAGCTGAACAAACAGATAAGAGATTGGAAGGGATGGACAGGAAAGTAATAAGAGATGAACAGAGACTTAGAAGATTCGATTATCCATCTCGAATTGGAACGTGCAGCATTCTATTTGAGGTTCCAAAATGTATTGGAATCCAAAGATGAAGACCTGGGAGACATAATGTCCCACTTAATAACAGAGGCATTTCAAAGGGACCAACAGGAAATAGTGAAAACATTAGATGAGGTCTACCGAATCCATACAAACTACGCCAGACAAAACAAGCTGCCTAGAGAGGTCCACATCAGGTTTGCCAGAAAAAATGTAAGAGATATTGTATATAGAATCACAAAGGACGAGTCGATGGTATATAAAGAAAAAGAGATCACAAATTCCAAGGCGGGTGAAAGAGTTGAGGAAGGACTACAGATCTCTGGCAATACTCCTGAATAAACAAAACTTCTGGTTCCGGTGGCTGGTCCCTGAAGGAATGCTGGTGACGTGGCAAGAAAGAAGAGTAAAAATTGATAGTATTGAAAAGGCACAAGAACTTTACGATCAGTTGATGGAAATAGAGGAAGAGGGGAGCAGCAAAGAAGAGTCAGAAAGCAAGAGTCAGGAGGACCAACAAGAAGATCAGCAACAGGGAATACAGGAAACGGACCAAGAAGAGAGAGGCAAAGAAAAGAGAAAATACCCAAGGAGAGAAGGACTAAGAATAAGACCCTAAAGAGAAGCAAGAACAAACAGAAGATTTATGTAGACTCAGAATTAACAATGGAAGAAGAGATTAAATTACTCTCAATAAACATCAATGGATTAAACTCCCAGATCAAGAGGAAACAAATATTAACCAAATTAACCAAACAAAACGTTGATATTATATGCCTACAGGAGGTACATATCCAAAAACAGCATAAAAATATCTAGAATATCCCAAGTTGGGTCTATTATTTACAGCATTGGCAGATCAAAAGAAAAGGGGGGGGGGTAGCAATTTATGTAAAAAAAGGGATAAATGCAAAAAAAAATCTATGCAGATGAATAAGGCAGAATTTTAATGATACGAATTAATTTACATCAAAAACAATTACTATTAGTGGGGATATATGCCCCTAATGATAACCAGAAGTTTTATAAGGGACTGTATGATAAAATAATTAGTCTAGGTGAAGAAAATATTTGCTTGATAGGGGATTTTAATGCCATTGTTGATGTTAAAAAAAGACTATATTAGTATGGAAGGAACTAGGAAGAAAAAAAAAGAAAATTCTACCAAAAAACTTTTTTGATTTAACACACGAGACCAATTTGGAAGATATATGGAGGAAGGGGAATCCAAATGAGAAGAAATATACGTTTTATTCTAGTCCACAAAAATCATGGTCCAGAATCGATATGGTATGGGTTAATGGGGCAATCAAGAAAGACATTAGTGGAGATAATGCCTAATATATGGGCTGACCATAGCCTGATTAAAATTACATGGAAAGGACATAATAAAAGGAAAAGGAGATGGATATTAAATTCACAAATAACAAAGGAAAAAGAATATATCTCAAGAATTAAAAATGAGTTAGAAACATTATTTAAGGTTAATCTAAAACAACATACTAGTTTACAAAATTTATGGGACACTACAAAGGCTTTCGTGAGAGGCATATCAATAGCCTATATAGCTAAGAAAAATGGAAGAAACAGAACGAATTACAAGAAAGGATTAAAAAATTTGAATATGAGCTCCAAAAAGACCCAAAAAATATGGAAGTTAAGAAAGAAATAGGGATGATTAGACATGAACTAAATTTGATGGTTAATTTGGATATCACCCAGATGTTCATCATTAAAAGAAGACAATTATGTTAAACTGATTAAGCAAATCAGAACAGAATTGGAATTATGGGCCAAATTGAAACTGTCTATATTAGGAAGAATAGCAACGTTGAAAATGAATACCTTACCAAAACTAATATATCTATTCCAAATGATTCCAATTAAATTAGGGAAATCCAAGTTTGTCTGGTTGGGCAAGCAGCCATGTATTAAAATGAAACTATTACAAGATAATAGGAGTGGAGGCGGTCTCGGACTACCAGAATGGGAATTTTATTACCAGGCAGCGGTGTTGAGTTGGATTAAGGATTGGATTAAATTAAGAGACGAGAGAATCTTAACATTAGAAGGACATGACCTCTTGATAGGTTGGCATGCATTTTTGTGGGAAAATAAAAGCAATATACATACCTATTTCAATCAACACCTAATAAGAGACTCATTGATTACAATTTGGAAAAAAAAATCTAAGGTAAACACTATACAGAAATCCCACGATGGCCGTCAACCATGGAAGCCATAATACATCCAAATAGATTAGACCTACAGAAAATGGTAAGCTATGAAGAACTATTAGATAGTCAAGGGAAATTAAAATCAAACCAAGAACTGAAGGAAAATGGAATTATATTCGATTGGTGGCCATATTTGCAAATTCAAAATAAATATAAAAAAGACTCAAAAGATTTTAGATTTGACAAAGGGCAGAACCAACTAGATAAAATATTAATGGGACTGGAACAAAAACTTATAACTAAAATATATAAATATTTATTAGATTTTAAAATGGAAGAGGTAATAGTCAAAAGTACAATGATTGCATGGGCTCAGAATTTTGGATATACTATAGAATTAGAGGAATGGGAGGAAATATGGAATATAAATTATAAATTAACAGTATCTGCAGCATACAAAGAAAACATATATAAAATGTTTTATAGATGGTATTTAGCCCCAACAAGATTGGCAAAAATCTACTCCAATATGAGTCCTAAATGTTGGAAATGCAAAAAAGTTGATGGTACATTTTATCACATGTGGTGGATGTGTCCCGAGGCCAGGACATACTGGATTCAAATTAAAAATTGCTTAAAAGAGATCACTGGCTATCAGATTGAGCTCAGATCGGAATCCTTCCTATTAGGAATCATTAAAGAAAGACTACCGAAAGAAGTAAAATACCCAGTGTTACATATTATAACAGCCGCCAGAATAGCCTTTGCGCAGGTATGGAAAACACCAAATACCCTCAATGAAGAGCTAATAGCACACAAAGTAACAGAAAGTGCTGAGATGAATATGCTAACAATGAAATTGAAAGAAAAAGGTGACTCTGAATTCTTTACAATTTGGAACAATTGGTATAAATGGCTAACAAACAAAACCAAGAAGTGAGACAAAAATGTTAACTGAAACAACCCTTAAGAAAGTAAAATAAAATTTTGTAAACTATGTAAAGATATAAGAATAGTAATTATAGCTAAAGATATTATTTAATAGTAGATAAACACAATATAATGTATTATGATATTTAAAACAAAATCTTGTATAGATGCCAAGAACGTTGTTGATATCATGATGTTTTACAGTGTAAAAAAAAAGAAAATTAATAAATGTATTAAAAAAAAGGTGGAGGATTATGTTTTTTATCAACAGCAGCTGGTTTCAGGATATAACTATAATATATAAATTCTGTGATGAAAATTGAGAGTCTTTACATATCAACTGCAAGCCATCTTATTCTCCATGTGAGTTCTCATTTCTCCTAATAGCTGTGTATGTTCCTCCACAAGCTTGTGTAAACAAGGCATTATGAACTCTTGTGATCAAATTATGGAGGCTGAAGCCAAACACCCAGATTCCCTTCCCAAGCAAATTTAAGGAAAGAGCTCCCAAAATATTTCCAGCATGTAGTCCCATCAGAGGCAAAAATACTTTAGACCACTGCTACACAACAGTAAAAGATGCTTATAGGTCTTTACCATGAGCAGCTGTGAGACACTCTGATTACTGCATGATTCACCTTGTACCTGCCTACAGACAAAGACTTAAAACCATGAAACCAACAATTAAATCAGTGAGGACTTGGTCTGATGAGGCAAAGCTGAAGCTCCAGGCTTGCCTTGATTGCACAGATTGGAATGTTTTTGAAGATACCTCTGCAGACCTAGATGACCTCACAGATACTGTAACTTCCTATGTCAGCTTCTGCAAAGACTTATGTGTACCAACAAGGAACCTGCAAATATATAGTAACAATAAACCTTGGTTCACAACCAAACTTAAGCAGCTACTAAAGAGGAAGCCTACAGAAAAGGTGACAGAATACTATACAATCAGGCCAGAAACATATTAACAAGAGAGATCAGAGCAGCAAAAAGAAGCTACTCTGAAAAGTTAAGGAATCAGTTCTCAACAAATGAACCTGCAAACATGTGGAAAACTCTTTAAAACATCACTGGCTACAGCAAACCTCCTTCCCAGGCAGAAGGAAATCAACAACTAGCAGATGACCTGAATGTGTTTGAAAGGAAACTACAGCCACCTATCTCCACAACCCCCATCTCAAACACACCAACAACAGCCAAGCCTCCTACAACTGGCCCCAACCCATTGGGTTCACAACCTCTGGTGATCACAGAAAAAGAAAAGCAAGATCTATTTCACAGACAAAAGCCAGGAAAAGCACCAGGGCCAGATAAGATGACTCCTTCTTGCTTAAAAGTCTGTGCTCACCAATTGGCCCCCATCTTCACCTGAATCTTCAATAGATCACTAGAGATTGTGCTTTGTTCCTTCTTGCTTCAAACGCTCTACTATCATCCCAGTGCCAAAGAAGCCCTCCATCAAGGAACTGAATGACTACAGACCAGTCGCTCTAACATCTGTAGTTATGAAAACCTTTGAAAGGCTAGTGTTGTCCCACCTAAAAACCATCACGGATCTGCAAACTCCAAAGATCCCATGCAATTTGCATACTGAGCAAATAGATCGACAGATGATGCTGTTAAAATGGCTCTGCACTATATCCTACAACACCTTGAATCTCCAAATACCTATGTGAGGGTCCTCTTTGTAGACTTCAGTTCAGCATTCAATACCATCATTCCAGACATTCTTCTAACTAACTAAACCAGCTAGCGGTACCTGAACACACTTGTAAGTGGATCATGAGTTTTCTAACAGACAGGAAGCAGATGAAGCTAGGCAGAATCACATCTGATACCTGTACAATTAGCACAGCCCCCACCCCCACCACAAGGCTGTGTGCTTTCTCTACTTCTCTTCTCCCTATATACCAATGACTGCATCTCAAACATCTGTTAACATCTGTTAAAATACTGAAGTTTGCAGATGACATAACAGTGGTTGGTCTCATTAGAGACAACGACGAATCCACATACAGACAGGACGTTGTACAACTTGCCTCGTGGTATAACTGGAACAATCTGGAACTGAACACACTCGAAACCGTAGAAATGATGGTAGACTTTAGAAGAAACCCTCTCATACTACCACCTTTTACAATACTAGACAACACAGTATCAACAGTAGAGACCTTCAAATTTCTAGGTTCTATTATATCACAAGACCTAAAATGGACATCTATCATCAAAAACGTCACCAAAAAAGCACAACAAAGAATGTTCTTTCTGCTCCAACTCAGAAAGCTCACACTGCCCAAGGAGCTGCTGATACAGTTCTACAGAGGAATTACTGAGTCTATCATCTGTACCTCTATAACTGTCTGGCTTGATTCTGCAACCCAACAGGACAGACACAGACTTCAGAGGATAAATAGGATTGCAGAAAAAACAATTACTATCAACCTGCCTTCAATTGAGGACCTGTATACTGCACGAGTCAAAAAGAGGGCTGTGAACATATTTACAGACCCCTCACATCCCGGACATAATGTGTTTCTACTCCTTCCTTCAAAACAACGCTATAGAGCACTGCACACCAGAACAACTAGAAACAAGGACAGTTTTCCTCCAAAAGCCATCACTCTGCTAAACAAATAATTCCCTCAACACTGTCCAGCTATTTACAAAGTCTTTCAAGAAGAGAGAAAAACTTTCAAGAAGAGATTGGACTGCCATTTGTCAGAAATGGTGTGGGGTCTCCCGCCTGGGCGGGGGGTTGGACTAGATGACCTACAAGGTCCCTTCCAACTCTGATTATCTGTTACCTATCTGTTAAGTCTGCACTACTATTATTGTTAATCTTCTCATCACTCCTTATCACCCATCCCCTCCCACTTGTGACTGTATGACTGTAACTTTGTCACTTGTATCCTTATGATTTATATTGACTGTTTCCTAATATGATTTGATTGCTTATTGTACCCTATGACTATCATTAAGTGTTGTACCTGATGATTCTTGACTCTTGACGAATGTATCTTTTCTTTTATGTATACTGAGAGCATTTGCACCAAGACAGATTCCTTCTGTGTCCAATCACACTTGGCCATTAAAGAATTCTATTCTATTCTATTCTATTCTATTCTATTCTATTCTATTCTATTCTATTCTATTCTATTCTATTCTATTCTATTCAAGATTATTTGTGAATGAGTGTTGAGAGAATAAAAAAGCAATTAAGCACACAGTTAAAAAAGATAACTTATTGCAGCTTCATGTCTGCCAGGCTGCCACGTCATTGCTTTTTAAAAAAGAAAATTTGCTATAGGGAAACTGGATTTTCAATTGTGAATGGATGGGTTTTACAAATGTTATGCTGTGCTTTATTTTGCAGGCAAATAATGCAAAGATATATGCACATACATGCACTTGACAATTTAACTACCTATGTTGCCCACCTCAAATTCTTGTGTCTTTAGAAAAGTAACCAAAGAGACATTTTCAAAAATAAGAAAATAAAACCTTAGAAAAACTTGTAAAGGAGAAGTACTGCACTAAATGAAAGTTGTTTGGTTGTTCTATATTTAACTGAAGCCAGCAAGCAGGTTCATTTAGAAACTAGGAAAAAAATGTGTTATTTCAGTTTAAAACTTTATGCGACTCAACATGTTAATCCAAGTAGGTTTTCTGACTGATAACAATGAAGCACTACAGTATTCTCATTGTTTTTCACAAAGACTATTTATGGAATCAAAATTTTAGCTGGGTCTTTTAATATCCTTCTAAGAAATCTATAAATTAACCTTGTAACTAACTTCAAGAAAATATTTTATTCTTTAAGATATAATATGTTGAATTAGCTAACTGTACTCTGTATCTTTTATAATCACTTGGACTTATGGACTTGATAGATTAAACTTGCCTTCCTTCACGGATCTCAATAGTCATAGAACGAGATACAACATCTCGGGAAGCTAGATCTTTGGCAACTGGAGCATATCTCTCCATAAATCTTTCTCCTTCACTGTTAATTAAAATACCTCCTTCACCACGGCAGCCTTCTGTAATAAGGCAGCCAGCTCCATAAATACCTGCAAAATATATTAAAATTACTACATTTTACCAATGATCTCTATCATTCCAAAAATAAAATTTACTGTGTTTTAACATTTGATGTAATACCTAATTAAATTATATTCTACAAAGGTTACCTTCAAATTATGGCCTTGCAATTATTTACTGATTTTTTAAATAAATTTTTTATAAAATGTACTGAATTATCTTAATATAAGTAGAGTTTCTTTCAAGTCAAGCTTGACTACCAATGATTACAGAGACGTATCTACATTGTTTGCTTGACAACATGGGTTTTGCTATTACCTTCTCCAGGATTGTTTTCCTATTCCAGGGATTTCCTGGGACAACCAGGTCCAACCTTGTTGAGCTTTTCAATATTGGTCAGGTTAGATATTGAAAAACTTTGAGCGAGTGATGAAAACAATACTTACCTTATATTTTGAAGATGAATGCCTAACATTTATATCCCTAAAACAAGATATATATGGTTCATTGAACAACTACAAGTAATTTGTGACTTACAAGTATTTATTTAGTGACTGTTGGAAGTTACAACAGCACTGAAAAAAGTGACATAATTATTTTTTACACTTTATGACCATCGCAGCTCCCCATGATCATATGATCAAAATTCGGATGCTTGACAACTGGCATGTATTTATGACTACTGCAGTGTCCTGGGGTCACCTTTTGCAACTTTCTGACAAGCAAAGTTAATGGGGAAGATATATTTGTGGCTAAGAACAGTGTTACTAACTTAATTGCAGTGGTTCACTTAACTGTAGCAAAAATGAGGGAAGATTACTTAACAAATGTCTTGTGTAGCAATGGAAATTTTGAGTTCAATTGTAGTTGTAAGTCGAGGTCTATATGTATAGCATTCGTTTAACAATGCATTCACTCAATAAGTGCTATAAAAACAGTTATAAAATCAGGTCAGTCACATGACTTAAGTCACTTTACAATGACATATGACTATAATAGTAATAGTACCTGTTCTCCAATTAATTGAACTTTAAACTTCCTTGATTTCTATATGGACATCTATCTTCTTTTTAAATTTCACATATAAGAAACTTCACACAGAATCTGGAATTATTTTACACTCACTACAGTATTTATTATTCAATGCACATTGGAGGGACTCACTTCAAAGAATAATGAAAGAAACCACTACAGACAAAAGGATGCATTCATATTTATGTATTTCAGAAAGGTAGAGAAAACAATTTAGACTTAAGTAGTAGATGATGTAAGAATATTACTTCATAATAAACAGATACATGCAGTATTCATAATTAATACATATCAATTAATTCCCATCCTTCTATTATTACTATTTTCAGAAAGAATCATTGTCTTAGAAAAAGAAACATGCCAGTAAGTTACCATAGAAATATGAACTAGAAGGTTGTCTTTCCCAATTGTCCATAGGTAGTCCTTGACTTACAATGGAGCAAAAAATTTCTGCTAAGAGGGATATTTATTAAGTGACTGTTGCCTCATTTTACAACCTTTTTTGCCACAGTGATTAAATGAATCACTACAGTTGTTATATTAGTAACATGGTTTTAAAAGAATCTAGCTTTCCCGTTAACTTTGCTTGTCAGAAGGTAGTTAAAATTATCACATGACCCCAGAACAGTACAATTTCATAAATATGACTCAGTTGCCAAGCTCCTGAATTTGATCGTGTGACCATGGGGATGTTGCAACACACGAGTGTGAAAAACGGTCATGTCACATTTTTCAGTGCCATTTAACTTTGAATGGGCACTAAATGAACTGATGTAAGTTAAGGACTACTTGTATTTGATTAAAATGCATTATTTCTTTATTTTTACTTTTCTGTCATTTTTTTTATGCTTTTGCTTTGTCCAAATTTAAGAATTTTCTTTCCTCAGAATACAAATTTTACAATTTTATAGAAAACAAAATTTCCAATTTTTATATACTGTAATCACAGTACTGGAAGATGCTACTTAAGCCACTGCATTCAAACTCTGTTCAATGCTAGAAACAGAATTAACATTTTTTTTGAGAAAATGGCCATAAACATGGACAATGCAGTTCCACTGAAAATAAGGTCTCTTAGGACTTTTTTATGGCAATAAAAAGTAAATCAGTGTTCTGATCAAAATCCATTGTTATGGATTCTGTACTCTAGAATAACAGAAAACAGGTCATGCCCTTCCTTCATGACTTTCTATGATGCCCTTCAGGTCAGCAGGTAATATGATCAATTCAGAATAGAGTGGTACTATTACTCCCTATGATACGTATTATTGATGAATCTTGAATATCCTTTAATGCAGTAATATCAAATTGCTTAAATGAACCTTAATCCTTATTCTAAGATCATTTAACAAGGACTATTACCAAGTCAGATCTTATATTTATACAATTAATTTTTTGTCCTATTCAAATAACTTTTTAAGTGTTTCTGTTACATTTCAGTCTGCTTTTTTCAATTCTCTTCTCTATCAATAACATTGAAATATCATTTGTTATAAGTTTTTAGTTTTCTGAAAATGCATCCTCTCTATATCTATGTTCAGGTCATTAACAAAAAATTTGTAGTACAGATTTGTAGTACCCAGGACTCAACTTTGGCACTTCATTTTATGTTTCTCGCCAGTTTGTTTGAATACTCTGAAGTATGTTTTGAGTCTGTATCTGCTAAATTCATATAACTGAAGCTAATTAGTTTACTAACTTTATGGGATATTTCTTTAGCTTGCTAAAATTGTTAAATGAATACAAGATCTGTAGGATTCCTGCAATCTATTGAAGAGGTTGACTAATAAAAACAATGAACAGACATACATAATATTCTATTGCATAACATCTCGATTTAAAAAAATTAAGGAAAATAAAAAGATTTGTTGCAAAACTTAGTTCCCTGTAACAGAATAAGTTTTTACCTGTGGGATGGAACTGTACAAATTCCAAATCCTGGCAAGGTAGGTTTGCCCGTGTAACCATTGCTGTGCCATCTCCAGTACAAGTGTGAGCAGAAGTACAGCTAAAATAGGTCCGCCCATATCCTCTGGAAAAAGTTCATAGTTAGCATCTACTACTCATAAGGCAGGAAAGAAAACATTTCATGACTAATATTAATGCCAGTATTTGTGATAATAATGAATGTTATCTATTTAACATTCCACTTTCAACATTTATTTGGGCCTCACCAGTAATGTTAGCAACTTGCATCTTGGCAACATGCAATCATACCATCTGAGTCACTTTTAAGTATTTTTTCCTGTTCTTCACTATTACTTATCAAATATGTCATTCTTCTTTCCAACACACTTCAGATCATGCAGCAGCATTTAAAAGCAAAATGGTCACATTTTAACAACACATTTTTTCTGGGGTTTTTTTTAACACACACACACAAACACACATCAGCATCAGCATCATGGTAGGAATGGGAACCATTTAACTCTGAGAACTTTCCATCTTTAGCATTCCCCAGCTCATAGACAATAAAAATCACAATTTTTGAAACCAATTGTGATGTTTCTTTGCACTTCAGAGGTTTTACTATTAGAAATCATAATGCTGCAGAAAGCAAATACCCAAAAGGCTGAAAAATGGACCAAAACAATCACCTGATATTTCCTATGAAAGCATGTCAACAGACATGTTTAAATTACCTCTGAAAAAAACAGCCCTGATGCAGCCCTCAATGAAATCGAGTTTGACCCCCCTGGTTTAGGCTATCAAGCCTAATACCATAATTAGTGTAGGCATTTATAATAAATAATTCCTGTCTAACTTCTGCTAGAACACATCCATTGAAGTGAGCCTACCATCTCTCTCTCTTTTCCATTTAACAAAAATGCTATAGCTACATTCAAGTATGGAAGATTTGGGCTGCATTATATTTCTCATGCCCTGTCTCATGTAGAAGAAAGGCAAAAATTCATGAAAGAATATAAACTAGTGGCATATTATATGAAAAAATTATAATGCTGGATGAATTAAAACAAGAAGGCCCATATATTGTCATTGATATTTCTTCATCTGATTAACATATTACCCGGTGGCAATAACTGTATTCTTTGCTCTAAAACGGTGTATTGTGCCATCTTCTATGCAAAGTGCAATAACACCACAACATTCTCCATTTTCCATTAGAAGATCAAGAGCAAAATATTCCACAAAGTAGCTGGTATCATATCTGAGTGACTGATGGTGAGAGAAAGAGAACAAAGCATTAATTTCAGTAGTTAAGTAGGAATGTTAATTTCATTATGTAAAATAGAAAGTGTTTCTTTAGACTATAAATTTGGCTAAGAACCTACCTATTTTAGGTATTTATAAATATTTAATATGTTTCTGAGAATATTAAGGCAATAGCCCTCAATTTGAAAGCATTCAATGGATTCTGCAGAATGAAGATACTGCAGATCTTTGTCAAAGAGTGTCAACTGGTGGAGAGCAAAAGACGAGTTGGCCCCTGTTTTATGGAACATCCTTCCTTCGGAGATTAGAATGGCCCTAACCCTGTTATCTTTTTGTAAGTCCCTAAAAACTTGACTATATTCTCAAGCTTGGGGCAATAAATGTGTCAAGCACCCTATTTCCTGGCTGTATTGTTAATTGGCCAAATAGCCTATGTTTTTAGTATTTTAAATGTTTTTAAGTATCCTTAAAAGTAATATGTTTCAAGTGTAAGCTGTCAGAATCTCTGACTGAGATGGGCAACGATAGAAATTTATTGATTTGGATGAATGAATTTAATTAATTTAATTTATCAAATTCAACTCTTTGTTCAGTGAAATAATCTAAATTAAAGTATCTGTGACAGATGACTACCCAGCCCCTATTTAAGCATATGCAGTAAAACAGAGCTTATTCATTTCCTGGATAAATAGTTCCGCCATTCAAGGGCACATTGTTAGGATATTTTTTTTATTAATATTCAATAAGCATCTATTTTCCAGTAACTTAAGAAACAAAGTTTGATTAGAAAACTTTCTCAATCATATTACATTGGAGAAACACTCTGGTCAATATTTGAGAAACTGTGTAAAAAAGGCAAATTCTGGGAAATTTCTTCTTGACCACCAGATGGGGCTGTGGGCTGAAGAGAAAAAGGGGGGGACTTCCTTGCCCACTCTTGAAAAAGGAAAAAAAAATGATAAGAATTTTTTGACTTCACTATAAATTTCTTCTTGACCACCAGATGGGGCTGTAGACTGCTTTACTTGGGTCTGGTAGGTTGCAGGTAATCTTGGAACATTTGAATTAAATTGATTAAATTGTTCACAATAGTTTCAAAAGGGTTTATCGTTGGAGAAACACTGTGGTCAATCTTGAGAGACTTTGCAAAAAAAATCATAGCAAGCGGGAAGATGCTAACTTTGTTTAAAGCATTGCTAGATTAAGTGTCTCTCTTCAGAGGGAAGGAATGTGCTCCGTTGCTTTGGAGATGGCTCTGGCCGGAGGAAGGTTTATTACCGTGGCCTCTTTATTGCCTCTTCGAAGCAGCCGAGAGCAGAAGAAATGTGAAGCCTTTCCTTTTAGCAACACAGGCAAGATTTCTGAAACTTTCTCATTGCGTTTGGAAAGGGTTTGCAATTGGATAAATACAGGGATGGATGAGAGATACTTGGTCCCTCCCTTGCTTTTACAATAGTTCTTTCCAGTTAGGAGTTGTAATTTGAGACACAACACTTCTTTCGCTGAAGAGAAAAGGGGAATTAGCCCCTTCCTGGAACTCCGATGTATCTTAATCAGTTGTAAAGGCTTTGTCTCCCTTCCAGATGAGCATAGCAGAATCAGCTTTCCATTTCCCTTTAAAAATACAAACGAGAGTTCTCAAACTTTCCAACTGAGGTTTGATTATCTTTTGAGAACTGGGAAATTTCTAACTCTCCTTGTTATGCAAATAGAGTCTCTGAGATAGCAGGAAGACAAATTGAGCAGAGAAGAGGGGTGAGTGGGTAGAAAGATCTCTTTGTTTGTAGCATGTGGGGAACTCCAGCCCCTCCCAACATTCACAGCATGTAAAGAGTTCCGATGCTTACAGAGAGAGAAATGGGACATGCAGGTTTATATTAACATCACATATTCACTCCTGGCTTCAGTATCACTTTGTTTTATCATAAATCCAAATTATACAGTTTTATAGAGATGGGTTTCAGAATCATCTTTTACTGTCCTGTCTCATGCACAGAGGTGGATTTGTAGCTGTGCAGATGCAGATAGATAAATCCACAAAACATCCATAACAAAGTACATTTATTGGTACATCAGGTATCTTCATAACTCACATTTGTGATGAAGTTCTTCTATAATGACCAATCCTTTGTATATCAGCCTTACAGGTAAAAGATGGTTATTTCCTAACACATCTTGTAGCGATAGAAAGAAAACTGCTATCAGTTCATGAGTCCAGACAAGAATGGAGGGAAACCTCCCCCAACCCCTCTTGGGTCAATTTAGTGACCAATCAGGATTACAGATATGGCCACGTGACATGAACTACATTTCCCAGGATATCTTTGACTACATTTACCATGATGCATTCCCTTAAGGGAACAGCTCATAATTCCTAAGTAACTATCCAATTCCCATAGACTGGCTGGGACAGCACATTACTCTCATATAGCATAACATTCTAACCCTGATATTTTATTCTGGCAGAAATTCAAAATCTATTTCCAATGCTGCATTCTGTTTATGTTTCAATAAAAAATGTTGACCAGAAGAAATAAATGCAATTAATAAAAATCTTTATCAATAGAAGTTGTGGTGGGAATATGCTAGTATGTACATGTAACTGCCAAGTGTTCACATGACAGTATTCAATGCTTTGCTTATGCCTTTAGGTTAAAAAATAAGACAAAAGAACATGCATTATATTTGCAATCGTATATATAATTAATATTAAGAACCCTGATTATATCACAAGAAACTGAGAAATTGTTTCACTTAACTATTTCTATTAAAATCTTTGACTTAAATTGTCTTTTTCTTTAAAAAATAGTATATTAATAATCCAAAATTATGTGAGCATGTAAGATTGAACAATCCAGTAATTATCAGTGACATATAAACAAAACATTAGTTGGATTTGATACTATACTCAGAACCAAATGCACAGGTATAAAATAGGTAGTACCTGGCTCAATAGCAATAATTATAAGAAGGATCTAGGACTTCTAGTTGATGAACACTTATATATAAGCCAAAGGAGTGTGCTGCAGCTGGCAAAAAAAGCCATTGTAATCCTAAGGTTACATTAATAGAAGGATAGAATCAAGATCACATGAAGTATTAGTAATGTTTTATGATGTCTTGTAAGACGACACTTGGAATATTGCATCCAGTTTTGATCACCATGATATAAAAAAAAATGTTGAGTCTAGAAAAAATGCAGAAAAGAGCAACTAAGATGATTAGGGAACTGGAGGAGGCCACAATGGCTTACATGTTAAGACATTAGGCTTGCACACTGCTAAGGTTGGCTGCTTGGCGATTCGGTTTCTATGAGCGAATAAACAGCACAAGGACAAGAAAGGAGTCTTCCTGAATGCCTACCATCATTCAGGCGTCCTGCGGGTAAAAGTTAACACTGCCCAAAAAAAATCCCTGGCTAACATGTGCCATACGCTAAATAAAATAAATAGGGGACAGGAGGCTCAAACATATGAAGGGTTGCAGAAACTGGGTATATCTAGTCTAATGAAAAGAAGGACAAGGAGTAACACAGTAAAAGTGTTCCAATATTTAAGAAAGAATAGAGGGTCAACCTATTCTCCAAAACACCTGAAGGATGACAAGAAGCAAAGGATAGAAATTAAACAAGGAGAGAACAAATCTAGAAGGAGAAATTTATTGACAGTGATAATAATTAATCAGCAGAACAGTTTGCCTTTAGAAATTATGGATGCTGCATCACTGGAGATTTTTAAGAAGAGATTGGACATCATTTGTCTGAAATTGTGTCGAGCATTCTACTTGAGCATTGGATTAAAATAATGACAAGATGAATTTAGACATACACATGCACGCACGCACACACACGCATTCATCTTGATATTATTTTAACAAATGTTAAATTTATTCAAATTGAGAGCCTGTTCATGGTTTACATGAAAAGTAGGTAGTTTAACTGTACCCCGTGTGAAATGATAGTTAATTTTATCTTTGCATTCAACTGTTGATGATCGAAGTTCTAGATTTTGAGATGTGAAAGACAAGCCTTGTCCTTTCCATGTCTTTGATAATATGTACTCTTGTCTGATTTCTAAATTAAAAATACATTAGATTTTTAAGTTTTTCCCAACTTTAATTTGACCTCAATAGCTTTTTTCCTCTACATTTTCAAGCACATAATAGCCTTTTATGATAACAACTGTTATAGTTTTTACATGAATCACACTTATAAACCTATTATTTGATGACAATATTGAATTTTTTTCTTAATGTCTAATTTGGAAATTGCTATTTTCAAAGAACCCACTGGATTAACATATTATGTATCCACAACAATCCCAAGCCCTCCTCTAATCACTAGTTACCACCTACTGGAATGTCCAGTGAACTGACATATTACAAGGCATCTTCAGTTCCATTATATTTTATGATCAAAAATAAAACAAAAAATTATATCTGAAAAAAAGATTTGAATTTTGAATTCTGTATAACAGAGAAATATCACTTATACAAACTTTCTATTATTTTGACTGTATTTATGTATATAGGAACATCATTCAAATTTTATCTGAAATGAGTCATAACAGCAATAGGCATAAGCCAATGTCACCATCAATTTTAAAAGTAACTCTGTTAATCATGACTTTAGTGATCTTTGTTCCCCACTCCACAAATAACTACTTACCCGGCCATATAGTGTGTGTAACAGAGAGTGACCTGTCCTATCAGCTACACAACAGCAACGGTGAGCCTGTCCTCCTTTCCCAAATTTAAGGCTCTGACCTCCAAAAGCACGTTGATAGATCTTTCCATCTTCTGTCCTGCTAAATGGCATACCATAATTCTCTAGCTGAGGAATCCAAAATGAGATGAGTAATTTAATTACATATAGTAAAATAACATATAATACATCTGAAAATATCTCAGCCCCTCAAAATAAATAAAGTAAAATAAAAGGAGATAACATGCTAAACAACATTTTAATCTATTTAGGACGTTTTGGTGCAAGATTCTGCACTATTATGTAACTAGGGGTTCTAATAGAAATTACTGAAAATTAGCTAGTACTATTAGTACAATTCCTACTTATTCGTGAACTATGACAATATTATACTCTAAAACAGCTATAATATGTAAATAAACATGTATACTTATTTTTAACAGCTAAAATCTGAAAAGTTTTTGATATTTTCAGTCAGTCTCATTTTAAGCAAAAGTACTGAAATGTTCTGAGATTTAGTGATCACACGAGTTCTTGGCCATTTTTAAATGCAGTAATTTAATGTAACTTATTTTAAGTTTAGCAATTTATAGACACCATTTAGGGATCTAAATATGTCCTAAGGGCTTTTATATTAGCCCACATAATTTTTAATGACTGTGCTAATTCAATTCTCAAAAATTTAGAACCACACATTAGAAAAAGAATATTTGAATACTGAAGTTTCTGCCACACATAAGTTTGCCTGCATCTATTACTATTTGTGGGGACAACAAAGTAAGGTCTATCAAAAAAGGTTAAGTCCAGCAAAATTTGCAACCATTTTTTGGGGGATATTTTACCTTTGCTTGTAAGATTAAAAGGGGAATGGGAAAGCTAAGAATAATCTATATTGACAAGGACCAGGAACACTGTACCACCATAAAGAAAGTCGATCCACTTAGAACAAATGAAAAAAACCAAGCCAAAAGAAAGCAATGGCAAATTACTTAAGTGGCACTGGTAAGAAAATTGTATGGATAGGGCTGAAACACCCAAGTTTGAATCGTATTTTTTTCAGAAGTAAGTTTGGACGTAATATTGCGAGACCAAAATCATAAAAATAGTCTGATTACTAAGGATGACAGTTCCCAATTTTTCAATGATATACAAAGCTGGATCACAGAAGGCAAAAAGTCAAAAACAATTAAAACACCTAAGGAGGAAATGAGGAATACTAGGTAAACTTAGGTAGGTTGCAATGGGCCACATCTTAAAATAGACAATTAAGTAGGATATCTCAATCTAGAAAAATCATATAAGATTTTTTTATCATCCAAACCTGAAATTTGTCAATGGATATACAATGATTTTAAAATAAATAAGGGATCCTCAACCCCCAGGCCGTGGCCCACTACCTAGACGTGGCCGATTCTGAACTGAGATGTGGGAAAGAACTTGCAGTGGAGCTGTGTGGCATGTGTGTACGTGCCAGCCCACTGCTTGCATGAGTTGAGCTGCACACGTGCATGCAAGAGTGCCAGTCCGCCATTTGCACAGTCCGGTTTCCCTCTCCTCCTGAGCCAGGCCAGCAAGCTGCAAAGGTTGAGGACCAGTTTTAAATGATATAAACACAGATAGGATTCAGCAGGTTCTCACCAGTTTGCCCGAACCGTTAGTTAATTGCTTATTCAGTTCGGAGAACCAGCTAAAAATAAAGTGTGAGAGGGGTTTTTTTCTCTTCCTCCCTTCAGTTAATAGCTCCGGGCAGACAGCCAAGAACCACTTAACAATTGCAGCTGGAATGCAGCTGATACATGCTGAATCAAACAACAGAAACTGACAGGGTCAGGGCAGGGAAACCCATCAATCACCCATCTAAGGATGGGATTAACCTCTTCCCTTCAGGAAAAAGGACAAGATTATAAACATTTTCATTATCAAGAGTATTAAGTAACACTTCTGTGATCAGCTGATATTCCCTGGATTTCCCCAAGACCTTTTATAGCTACTGCAGAGTTCGCTACTTCTTCTTTCTTCTGGGGGAAGATACAGGAGGGCACAATGATGCAGCTTCATCATACAGGCCGTGAATTTAATGCACGTGTGGTCCAGCCAGCTGTATTGCTTCTGCTGTGAAGCATCCAATTTAGAACATAGATAGCATAGAATGGTAAGAGTTGGAAGGGTTAACGGCTTTTGGCAGCATGCCCAGGCTTTCAATTAGCATGAGTTTCCCTCTCAGCTGTTGCATGTGCTTTGATGTTGACTTTTTTTTTTTAAAGGGGAAAGGCTGTTTTAAGTTTTCTGCATTGTTTTAGTAGTTTCTGGCACTGTCCTTTTGGGGTACTTCCCTCACTCTTTTTGAAAGCCTCTAGTGAGGCTTCTGAAGACAGTCTATTCCACAGATTCTGAAGACAGTCTATTCCATTGGTTGATTGGTCTCACCCTTAGGAAATTTTTCCTTAGCCTAGGTTGCTTCTCTCTTTGGTTAGTTTCCATCCATTGTTTCTTGTTGTGCCATTTGGTGCTTTGGAAAATAGATTGACTCCCTCATTTTTGTAGGAGCCACTCAAATTTTCTGACAGAACAATTAATCGGTGGAACAACTTGCCTCCAGAAGTTGTAAATGCTCCAACACTAGAAGTTTTTAAGAGGTTGCATAACCATTTGTCTGAAGTGGTGTAGGGTTTCCTGCCTAAGCAGGGAATAGGACTACAAGACCTCCAAGGTCCTTTTAAACTCTATTATTCTATTTTATTCTAAATATTGGAACAGTGCTATTTTATTGTAAGTTGGACTAAGGAGAAATTTCCTAAGGGTGAGACTCCAATCAAGTTGGCCACGGCCACTCTGTCATAAGAGCAGAAACCGGTTGTTAAATTATTTGAATCCCACCACTGGATATAAAATATAAACATTTTGTTTGGGATTGCCCTTTCAGAAAATGTATCTTCAATGATGTTGGTATTATCAAGAAATTAATGGTCATCAGCAGTTTTTCTGGGACATTTTATGTATTAGTTATTTTATTAAGAGACAAATAAAGGCAGTCAATGTCTCCTATTTTTCACATGGATACTTTAAGTAAGAAAACTAATTATCTTAGCTAAAGAAACTGTTTTCCCTAATTATGTTATCAGTGTGAATATTTGTAGACAGTGAAGGAATCTGAGTAACTGTACCTCAATAACTGAAGCAGGGGCCTGCTCTGTCATATAATGAATTGCATCCTGATCTCCTAGCCAGTCAGAGCCTTTCACAGTATCATAGAAATGCCATCGCCAGTTATCATCTTCCATGTTTCCCAAAGCAGCATTGATTCCTCCCTATAAATTAAGTCATTGCAGAGGTAAATTGTTAAACTGTTAATAAATCATAACTTTAATACAGAGATCAACATGAGATAATTTTTTCATATATTAAGAAATAAGAACTGAATAGTAGGTTTAGCCTTTTTCAGATTATAATAACCTACATTTTAAAAAATCTGAGTAAATGACAAAATCCTGACACCTAAAATAAAAATGATTGCTTTAATACAATTACTTTCTCTAAATATCAGAAAGTGATTTTTAAGAAATTTTCTCTTGCTGACTTTGAAGTCAAGGCAAGTTCATGTCAAGAATAGCAGTCTCTCAGTTAATCATGTCCTCAACCCTTCAGGATCTAAACAAATTAATCACTTTACATTCTATCCAAAAAACAATTTGGTAATCAGGATATGTATTCAACAATGAAATAAAATGCTCCTAGAATTCTGGATCAAATTGTATTTAACCACAACTGAACTTTTTAAACACTCTTCAAAGTTAACCATATAGCTTATTGCTACAAACAAGTCATGCTGCAATCAAGATATGATCAATTAATTGTTACCAAGCATGTCTGATGCAGAAATTGTTAACAGTTGGCAATTGTAAAAGCACATCTGGGAATCCAAATGCAGCTGGGAATCAAGAACCATTTCTATATTATGGGGTAGTTATTTAAAGGAGAATGCATTCCCATCCAGAAAATTAAAATGCCACATAATTAGGACAACATGTAATCTATAATTAAATAAATGTAATTTCTATTTATCCAGCTCATTTATTAAATTTATAATCAATCAAGGAAATCAATTTGTTTAGTTAAATGATATGGACAATTAAGTTGGGTATCATTAGCATATAGCAATACTTGATTCCAAAGCTCCAGATGATCTCTCTCCTAATAATTAGATTCAGAATTTTACCAGGAATCAATATTCCAATGCAAAATAAATATATAATGCACACCTTATTGTATGCTACTCATGAAAATCAGAATAACATAGGCCTGAAGCACTACCATTAACTAGACAACCTAGGACCCGTTTGGTCAGCTTTCACAGATATTTCCTTATCTAAGCAAAGAATCAGAATGACCACAAAGTGGAAGCAGGAATCACTTCCAACTTCCTACTGGCTTCCCCATTGACTTTGTTTGGAGGAAATTGGCATGGAATATTGAAAATTATGATAACTTTACACAGCTAACCACTGTGATACTGAAGCAATCTTAAACCTGCAAATGTGCAGATGTGAAGAGCCTTGAAATTTCAATGACAAGGGAATAATGGTCCCAGGTTTTAAACACATTCTTTAAATTAGTAGAATTGAGGTAACTTAATTAAAAAAAAAAATGCACTATTCAATTTCAAAGTTATAAAGAGACAAACAGATTCTCTTAAACAATGACATTTGTATATAATATAAACCTAGGTAGCATGTGGCAATTGTGGCACGCTTCATTTCTCTTCCTTTAGTTTGAAAAACAGACTGAGAAAAAGAGGTCTCTTACTTGTGCAGCAACAGTATGAGATCTGGTCGGGAATAATTTGGAAATACATGCTGTATTAAACCCAGCCTCAGACAAGCCAAAGGCAGCTCTCAAACCTGCACCACCCGCACCCACTACAACTGCATCAAATTCATGGTCCACTACAGGATACTGTGTTGAAATCTGAACAACAAAAAAAGCAGAATACCTTGAGATGAAATATTTGCAATACATCAAAACAATTTAAATCATTTCAATTTACACTTGGAAGAGCACAATCAATAAGCACTATGCTGGAAAAAATTCAAATATCTCTCATTGGGTTTTGATTAATAATATTCCCTCCCCAGGTTTGTGATCCTCTATAATGTTAAACAATTAGAAGCATCATTAAACTCAAATCCTTAATCCTTTGCTGCCATTCTTTCCCATGTTAACAAAAGGCTCTTTCATTCCTGTAAGATATCACTATATTTTTAGTATTTAATTTGAACAGGTGGATAGATCAAATAAATAAATAAATTGCAATTTGACTGATCCATACAAACAAGACTGAATTCCAGAATCCTCAATAAGGAAAACTGAGGATGGGATGATTTAAACCCAGCTTTAAATTTTACAAATACTTACTGGCTAAATGTACAGTATGCATGTGAAGCCATGTCTTATTTAACCAAGGTTTATTAAGTAACCCACAACTATTCAACTATTAAACCACAAATCATGATTTGTTAAGCAAACAACTCATTCAGAAACAAACTACACTACAACTTAGATCAATCTGTAGATTGAATGTCTTATTTTTTTTCCAACATATCTGGATTGGATGAAGAAGCCATGTAAGTGATTCAAAATAACTTACTGAATCAGATACTTTGGCAGAAACATTCTTCTTTCCATATGCCGTGAAGTGAAAATTATGAGAAAATACATCACAAGCTGCTGGCCTTTGCTGAAAGATAAGAGTTATAGTTAAAATCTTCTAATGTGGTAAGGCAGTACTCGCATTGTTATAAGCAAATATTTTGGTGCCCTTACCACAACTAAATTGATCCCAAAAATTTCAATTGTTAAACAAGACAAGCTGTTAAATGAGTTGCACTTCATTTTATACCCATTTTTTGCCACAGTTGTTAAGTGAATCATCCAATCCTTGAGCAAATCTGACTTTTCCCATTGACTTTGCTTGTTAGAAGCTAGGTAGGAAGGTTGTATATGGTAATGGCCGGATGCCCTTCCTGTAAAATTCCATGCAGAATTTTATTCAGCAGATATATTCTCATTGTTCCCAGAGAGAAAAATATGCCTCTACCTAGGATCGAACCCATAGCCTTCTGATTGTGAGGCAAGAACTCCACCCCAAGCCACAGCAGCTAAATAAGAAATAAATGGCAAACCAGCCAAATCAAATAAGTTCTAAATAGTAGTTGCCAATATTAAAGAATCACCCATTTTCCCCTTCATTCAGAATCTAGAACAGAAAAAATAAGCTTGCCTTTTTCAATTTTCAAATTATTCCCCATTAATTTCTCCAAAGAGAAACATGATTTCTATAACACTAGAAGTAGTTACTGCTGTTAAAAAAGATTACTTAATGTAATGTTAAAAAAGATTAACTACATTAATTATTTAATGAGAGCTCTATCAGCTCACAGGTGTGATTTTAGGACAACAGCTGCTAAATTGGCAAAAAGGAAGATAGCGACTTAAAGAAAAATCTAACAATGAGAGGAAATGGAGGAGTAATGGCTGATAGATTCTAGGCAGTGTTGGCTCTTAAAGGTTTGTTTTTCCTGAAGGACCCAGGGCAAGACTTGAAATAAATATGAATGGTAATGAGGTCAAAAGATTCATTGAAAAGGACTGCCATGGAACAAATCTACTAAACAGAAAATTTCCATGAAGTCAGGAAAAAAAGACCAAATCCAACCTACTAAAAAAAGAATCTAAGGAATTAGGCGGAATAATTAATTCTGTTACCTACATATAATTAGGAAGCAGGAATAGAACTATATGAAGTAATTGATATACTTATCCAACATGTTAGATTGTACAAGAAGCAAAAGGCTTTACTTTGCTACTTTGAGGTATAGTTTCACCTAGAAATGCTCAGATATGTTTTAGTATATAAAGCTTTTACTTTGCTTTTTAGATTTATCATCACTTTTAGGGTGCTCATAAGATAAGAGAATGTGAAGAATGTTAATTGTTTAGCTGAGTTGGTGTAGTGAAACACTGCCTTAAAAAAAATGCTTTAATAAGAGGTATTTGAATCAATCCCATGAAACTCCCAAAGCCTTTCTTGACCGTCAATTCTGGTATTGAGAATAGTAGCAAGAAAATGTTGGAACTTCATCACCACTTGTTTGTTTTCAAGGTTGCACTCAATTTCTTTCAAATTTTAGCAGCATTAGAAATAAAATACATCCTTCTCTCCACTGTCAAGGCAGAGATGGGTTTTAGATAAAGTTCAGTGCTTCACTGTATGCACATAATACCCACATAATGAGAACCATGACCATATTTCTATTTTCTCATGAACTTATTCATTAATAATTCTTCAAATAGGGCAGTTCTTGATGTAAGTTGTCAATATATAAATTCAATTGGCCATCTTGAAAAGATTTGTCAGAACAATTTGGAAAATGGTAATGTGTAATGTGTATTAATCTTTGGACCATCAAATATATTTTGCTAAGCAATGCATTAAATGAACACTGAAATAAATGCTTTTGGGGGGGGGGGGGGTTTCTTCACTTTCTTCTAATGTTGGATAAATTTCCATTGTAAATGACAAAGATGCATTCTATGCATTTCAAATTCTTTTGAAAGTTTGCTAGTTTTTATTGCTGTCTTTAAAATATTTAATTGCCACAAAAATATGGCTTTTTTATACCCAAGCACTTAAATAATGCTGTGAATACATCTCCATTCATCAATATTCATAACAATTTCTCCATTTTGATTATTTGCACAATTTTTGAGGTTTTTTTTTACACATTATCTAATAATTTACATTTAGCTTCTTCTCTACTGAATGGATCTTGCTCTTTATCAAATGACTGAACCCTGATAACATATTCTTAACCATACAGGATAAAGTTTATGGCATAAACGAATAAAACAACTATATGACAGTTGCACCTAAAATTTACTAGGTTCTATTAAAATATATCTATGTATGTTTCTGTGTTAAGGAATTTTCTTCCTTTTGCAGTTTTGGTGATGTATTTGATTTTTGTGACCCGTGTAATGGGTCTGAAACAGTGTTTGAAGCAATATTTAAGATGAAGTTTCCTCTATACGGCCGTAAGAATCTTCCATTTGGAGCTGGATCAACCTAAAAAAGTTAGTGTATTACCGTGTTTCTCACATAATAAGGCCGGGCCTTATTTTTTTTTGACCCCCGAAAAACCGGCTAGGCCGTCTTTTCGGGGGGTGACTTAATTCCCCCCCCTTGCATCCTCGGGTGGGCGGGCGGCGACAGCTTGGATGTTCGGGAGACCTTCCGCCACCGTTAATTTCCCTTCTCCCTTGCTGCCGTAGCGTTACAGCAACGCCGCGGCGTTTGGCGCAGCCACGTGCAGCCAGTCAGGGCTCCTCCCTGCAACCGGAGCCCTGAGGAGACACTTGGCTTCAGGCGCTCCTGTGGCCGCCTTCCCTTTGCCTTCGATGGTAAAGTGAATTATTTTAAAAACCTCCGCTCATCCTATCAGGGCCATGCGAGCTGAGCAGAGCCGGGAAAGCAAGCCGCGGGTGTTTCCTGGTTCTGCCCAGCCCGTACGGCTCTGCCGCGGCCCTGGCGGGATGAGCGGAGGTTTTTAAAATAATTCACTTTACCTTCGAAGGCAAAGGGAAGGCGGCCACAGGAGCGCCTGAAGCCAAGTATACCAACAACAAAAGGCAAATCCTCAAGGTGGGCTGGAGGGAGGTGGCTACGTGCCCCCCGGGCTGCTTCAATGCAAGGTCCTGACTTGCAGCATCCTGCCGTTGCCGCCGCGTCCTTTTCGCCGCCGCCTCCCTCTCCGACTGCAAAACTTGTGTGCTTCGCCAAATGCTCCGAGCGAGGCGAGCTCTTTCATACATAGAGAGAGAGGGAAAGACGCCGGCGTGCTCCGAGAGGCTGGCTCTTTTCTCTAGCCGAGGCTGACAGGAAGTGCCTCCAGGGCCGTGGCAGGCAAGCCGCGGGTGTTTCCTGGTTCTGCCCAGCGCGTACGGCTCTGCCACGCCCCTGGCGGGATGAGCGGAGGGCCCGGCGGGGAGGCACTCGTTGCCTTGGTGACGTTTCGGGTGCCTCTGCCGCCTCCTCGCCCATCGCAGGTGGCGGCGGCAAGCGGTGGCGCTTCGCTGAGGGAAAAAGAAGACAGCGCAGCCACCTTGCTTGCTTTCCCACCTGCCCGCCCCAGATGGCCTCAGAAGCGGCGGCAGTGGCAGCAGGCGCGCACACTCCTGCCGGCGAAGGGAGGAGAGGCGAGGAAAGAGAAGGGAGTGCGGCAGCAGCGGCTGTCACAGTATCGTCTCATAGCGGGGCAAGGCTGGCAAGCTGAGGTGGCCGCACCAGAGAGCGTCACTGCCGACCCCGTCGTGAGGATAAGGAGCGGGATAGAGATTCAGTCAGATGTCAGCCTCGGCTAGAGAAAAGAGCCAGCCTCTCGGAGCACGTCGGCGTCTTTCCCTCTCTGTATGAAAGAGCTCGCCTTGCTCGGAGCGTTTGGCGAAGCACACGAGTTTTGCAGTCGGAGAGGGAGGCGGCGGCGAAAAGGACGCGGCGGCAACGGCAGGATGCTGCAAGTCAGGACCTTGCATTGAAGCAGCCCGGGGGGCACGTAGCCACCTCCCTCCAGCCCACCTTGAGGATTTGCCTTTTGTTGTTGGTATACTTGGCTTCAGGCGCTCCTGTGGCCGCCTTCCCTTTGCCTTCGAAGGTAAAGTGAATTATTTTAAAAACCTCCGCTCATCCCGCCAGGGCCGCGGCAGAGCCGTACGGGCTGGGCAGAACCAGGAAACACCCGCGGCTTGCTTTCCCGGCTCTGCTCAGCTCGCATGGCCCTGATAGGATGAGCGGAGGTTTTTAAAATAATTCACTTTACCATCGAAGGCAAAGGGAAGGCGGCCACAGGAGCGCCTGAAGCCAAGTGTCTCCTCAGGGCTCCGGTTGCAGGGAGGAGCCCTGACTGGCTGCACGTGGCTGCGCCAAACGCCGCGGCGTTGCTGTAACGCTACGGCAGCAAGGGAGAAGGGAAATTAACGGTGGCGGAAGGTCTCCCGATATGAAGTGCTCCACCAACGCAGGCAGCACCATATCCGGGCATGCAACAAAGTACTTCCTAACGGCAAGCCCCCCCCCCGCCATTCCCCCCCCATTTTGCATGTTTAATATGGGCCTTAATTTGGGGGGAGGGGTTTAATTTGATTTTATGCCAATAAATCATGCTGGGGCTTCCTATTGGTGGAGGCCGTATTGTTGGAGAAACACGGTAGTTGTGAAATATAGCTGAGATCATCTCTCATGAAAATGAAACTTTAAAAAAGTTAGCTATTTATTTCATTTAACTACATTTAACTGCAATAAAATAACCATATTTTATAAACATTACTATCCCAGGAATAAATTGAGAAACATATCCAAAAGATACCAAGCCATCCTTAGAAAAAATATAATTAAAACATAAGAATATATTTACTGACTTGAAGTGTCCTGTATCTCATACTTTCTTGCACAGGGTTAGGGAAACTTGGCTCTTTTATCACTTATGGACTTCAACTCCCAGAATTCCTGAGTGAGCCATAAAAGGTTCCCCATCCCTGGCCTACTGGTTTTTCAGTTGTAGGGGAAATCAATTTTTGACTTGAATGGGGCTGTTTAATATACAAATGTAGGACATAAACAGAATGGGACTGTTTAATATATAAATGTAGGACATAAACAGAATGGGACTGTTTAATATACATATGTCCTACATTGTATATTAAACAATCCCATTCAAGTTAAAAATTGATTTCCCCCACAACTGAAAAACCAGTAGGCCAGGGATAGGGAACCTTTTATGGCTCACTCACGAATTCTGGGAATTGAAGTCCATAAGTGATAAAAGAGCCAAGTTTCCTTCTAACCCTGTTCTTGCATAATCATACTCAGAAGATGTCATAATAATGGCTCATTCATATAATTTAGCCATACTAGTTACATTTTGCATGTTTCCCTCAGAAATATAGGCATGCTATTAAAATATTCCCAAATTGCTATGCTACAAAGATTGTGTGGTAGTCATGTATACTATTAGGTTTGTAGAAGTCGGTTGTCATTTTAAGTGTTGGTTTCTCTTCTTTTCCCTATCTTTTTCATTTATACAGTATTTGGCTTTCAAAAGGCCTCTTCCTTATCCGAATATATTGTATCACTTCAAATCTTTGTCATCATGTTTTAAGATTTTAGAGAAAAGTCACTTATTAGGGGCTGTTAATTGATATTTCATTTCCATATTAACAAGTTGTTACTGTGTAAGTTATGTTTTAATTTGAAGACCAAAATACGTTCAAGAACAAAGTTCAAAGCAGATCTCTCAACAAGGAAATATACGGACGAAAATAAATGTATTTTAAAGCATTTACAAGATATCTTATCGGTACCTATAGAAATATGGAACTGTTCGAAACACGACTCCCGTCTGGAGAACGGAATACCACATGAGGAAAAAAAACAACCCGAAACTTTCAGTATCTTATCCTGAACCGGGCTGAATATACGAAGCCAATAAAATCGCACATCCCGCCACTAAACTGCGACTGAAGCCTCGAACACAAGGTAAATATTAATTTATTATAGTTGACCCGGCCTGTACCAAGGACGTACCTTGCAGAACAACTGCAAATATCGCAGCCTCCCCAAAGTCAGCGCCATTTCTACCCGGTAGGATATTACTCTACTGCGCATGTGTGAAAAGTGGGACCTAACTGAGCAAGCGTCCCACGGAGACCGCTGGTTGGTTAGGATCAGTGCGAGGATAAAAACAAAATAAATCCGTTCAGGTAGGTTTTTATCATTTCAGGCCTTCGTTGTTTCTATGAAAAATTATGAGAGCTTCAAAGTTTCCATGAAAAGGTATGAAAATCAAAGGTTAGAAAAGCTCCGAAGCTTTCAATATGCTATACCACAACCAGGACAATCCGTTTTGAAAAAGAAAAACCGTTACAGTTGATGTCTAGTCTATGGTTCATCTCGCGATGAAGGGGCCTTATCCCGGGGAAAATAAAAAATAAATAAATAAATAAATGAACACGATGCGCATGTTGCGCACGCGCAATGAAAGCTAAGAGGTTCAGTAACCGCTACGGAGTGTTTGGAATGTTCTTTTTGACAGAACTTCTGGTCGTGGGTTTTCTTTTCACCTTTATTTAATGTTCGTGAAGATTTTTTGGTATGGGTTTGCATGTTTTTATATTTAAAGTAGTTTAATAAAAGAGGAGGCTTGTGAAACAGTATACGTAGTTGGCAATTGCAGTTAACTGTCCTGGGGCCCTGACAATCTTGTAGTCCATATTAAACTTGTTTTTACTTAGGGTAAATGTATAATAACTATTTTATTTTTTTGCTAAAATTACAGATGCTGAAATGTTTCTTGATACAGATTTGTGTGTGAGAGAGTGTTTACACACACACACACAAATCTGTGTGAAGGAACTTTTCATATCTTTCTCAGAAAAAGAGTTTTTCTTATAAATTTCCATAAAACTTTTTATTAAAGATTAGTTAGTTAAATGGTGGACTTTATATGGGGAAAATTGGCTCAACAAACGAAATGAGTTCTTCAGCCCTGATGAGGCCATGATGATTAACTACAACTCCAGTGACTCGAGAAAACACATAAGGTGATTGTTTGTAAATATGAAATTGGGAGGTTTTATTGATGAACGCATTTCCTAGGAATTTTAGTAACCCCACAGAAGTAAATCAGTTTTCTTTCTTTAACCATGCCCATTACTATGTTATTTTCTGTAGTTCATAAATAAACATGCCTATTAGGATTAGAATTAGGAAATTCTGTTGCATATAAAATTACTGTATATCACAGAAAGACTCTTTGGAGATAATCTAATCCAACTCTCTACTTAATACAGAGTATGATATAGGCCTTGAAAGATTATTATTCAACTTCTGCTAAAATACATTCAGAAAAGAAACCAGACTGTTCTTTAAGAGATAGTTTAATGTATCACCAAACAGACCTTGTCTGAATTTTTGTTTAATAATTGACTAAAATTTACTTCCCATATTGAATTATTGGACAAAGTTTTATCCATAGCAATGGAGAAAAATTCTGCTATATTTTCTTAATAACAGCATTTTTGATATTTGAAGATTGCTATAGCTGCCCCCCCCTTTTTTTTCTTCTTCAGATAACTATATCTTGCTCTTAAAACTGTGCCTCTCAGGACTTGAATATCAATATCAATTTGAGTATTTCCTTCTTCCCTGAATAATTATATGAAAAGGCACCCCTAAAATTTGGTGCCTCTAATCTGAAAGTATGAAGAATAGATAAAATGGCAGAACTAAAGATTGAAACCATGAGAAAATGGTCAGGAAACACATGCTTCTTATGAATTTAAATATAAGAGTGTATTAATTGTATTCCAAAGTGCTAAAGGAACTAGCTGATGATTTGCCTAAGCCTTTATTATTTGGGGAAGCATAATGAAAGATATGAGAGATCAGATTTGGTAGCAGTATGTTTTCCCCCTATATTTTTAGTGTACTCTCACTATGTCATGGGTATAAGTAATTTTTCCGGGAATTCTCAGAGATATATGAGTTTAAATAGCTGAGTGTAAAGTTAAGTGATAAGAATCTCAAGAGTTGCTTTCTCTCTTTTTAAGGTTTGCCTATGAATAATTTAAATAACCCTCCTCCTAACTGGAACATTCATCCTAATGCAAGAAATAATGAAGATCATGGAAGCAAATGGAATTATGCTTTGTTGGTTCCAATGCTGGGATTGGCTGCCTTCCGTAAGTGACCTTCAAATAATATTTGAATTTTTTTTTTACTTTTAAAATTAAGTTGTTCTATTTATCCATTGTTAAAACTGAATCATTTTGCAAATATTTTGTGCTTATTTTAAAGACTACTTAGGTTTCCTGAAACCTGGAACTCTATCATTACTGTAGTATTAAAAAATAAAGATTCCCTACAGCATTTTTATTTTTTCCTTTAACAAAGAAAATACTCAAGTCTCCGACTTTGCGGGAAACAAGGTTTCTTTTTTTCTACCAGTCAGCCAACTGCCTAGAATATGGCTAGTTAAATGTTGCAGGGATTCCGTAGGGGAAGTATGATTACTAATTCATGGCCATGCAAGCTTACAAAGTCTTCAGCCCAACTCTTAAGTTTAGAACTTAATAAAATATTTTTTCCATATTTTATTTTTTTCTGAGTATTTATTGAACCCACTTTGATAATGTTTGTAAAGCTCTACTGCCAGCCCAATTTGCATGAAACCTCCGACATCTTTTTTTGCCACTTGTTCACTCTAGTCATTCTAATTTGCATTGACCAATTAGGGTCCAATTTAAGATCTTAGAGAGAGGTATGCTTATTAAGAATACTTAGTCTTGGGACTGTACCCTGTTCCTATTTTCCAGACACTTATGAACATTCTTGACTTCAGTGAAAAAGATTATTGTGACATTATTCTAAGAGATTCATTTTCTTCCCTCATCCATTTCCAAGCATTGTAGTTAGGTATCTAGTTGTAAGATTTACCATGCTCTGAGGATAAGCTCGTTGATTTCTGATTCCACTTTGTTCTTTCATTCCACTGATATTATTTCACCAGAGGTATATATAAGCAAACATGAACAACAGTATTTTAAATATTTCCCTTTTAGATATCTTAATATTTTGCTTTTTCATTGTTGTAGAAGAGAAACAGAATTTTGTAGAAGAATGTGGATCTAAGATTAGCAGAATTAAGAGATGTTTGTCCTATTTCAAATAAGTTCAGAATTGCCCCATTGTTTATCAAGTTTGGCTTAACGCTAAGTTGGAAACCAGTCCTAGTATTTACCATTATAGGTTATTTTAATGTCTTACAGGTTGGATTTGGTCCAGAGAATCTAAGAAAGAAATAGAAAAAGAGAAAAGAGATGTCTATAGAAAATTTTCTTTTCTACAGAAAGAGCTTGAATCTAAATATCGCGACATAATTATAGAAAACCGCAAAATGGTTGCCCACTTGGAATTAGAATTGGAGAAGGAACGGAACAGAACCCTAAGTTATCGCAATGCACTAATCTCTCAGAGTTACAAATTGGTAGAAGAAAGAAGAACTTTGGAACAAGAGCGCACAAAGGTAGAACAAGAGAAACAGATTCTGCAGCATTCTGGTGCTGCTGGTGCTTTGTATAAAAACTGCTTGGAGAAGGAAGATCAATGGCAAACAAAAGCCACTATTTTACTAAAAGAGTTTGAAGAAGCTTTAATGGAAAGGCAGGATATGTATTGCAGCCTTGTACTGCCAAGATATCATCGGTTGGCAGTGGAGAAAAAAATGCTAGCCAAAGCAACAACTGATCCAATTGGTTTGGAATTGGAACTGGAAGATGGGCTGAAAGATATTTTCAGATATGATACTTTTTGCAGCAATTTATTAAATACCAATAAAAATCAAAATGGAAAGCTCATGTGGATCTACCTTCGATATTGGGAGTTATCTGTCGAAGTCAGAAAATTTAAGAAGGCAGAGAAGATATTTTTGGGAAACACTGGCTAAAGCTAAGCCACCCTTAGCTTGTATTATATCAATGTAGTCCTCTCCAGTTCTGTTAAACTTTAACCCACAGAATCCTCATGCTGATTTGTGATATCCATATAACTTTGTGAGGTATGTATCAGTATCTTTAACATTCATCATTAATAATATCAGTCTTTTTTTGATTACATCTGTAATGGATGTTACCATAGTAATGTATGGCTACTAAATACCTGTGGTTTTTGTATTAGCAGTGCTATTATGCTCAGTAGGATTTATTTAAAAAGGGTATTTCCACACTTCTACAATCCTTTCTATGCTGTCATGCTTTTCATTCCTCAGACCCTCCAACACAGATAGTCCTTGACGTATGACTAAAGGCGTCTGCCCATTAAAATCATATGTTATAATGGTTGCAAAATTTTATGACCATTTGCAGCAGAGAAGAAAACCCCTGTAGGGAACTAATTGTTCTCTATGGGTGCAATTTTGCCAAAAATAAAAGTGCCAGTTTTTGGCAAAACGGTTATAAAATAAGGTCATATGACTGGGAGATGCTGCAAATGGCTGTAAATATGGCCATGTTGCCAAGTGCTCAAAGTTCAGTCGTGATTACCGAAGACCCCAATCATGGAAGCTTTGAATCCTGGTTGTAAGCCCCCACCTCTTTTTTAAAAATTGTAACTTTTAATGATTGCTAAGTGACCAGTTATAAGTTGAGGACTATCTGTACAATAGGTACAATACAATCCGTATGTATTGATCAACTTGACACATGGTTATCCTTACAAATTGTCAACTTCAAATGAAGAGATCATCACATCAGACAATAAGCACACCATCTCAATGATGAAAACTATATCAAGTAAATCAAATTAATATTTAAAATATGTGATTTCATTGATCTTTACAATGGAAAGTAGATAAAAGCAAAGAATAAGAATGGGATTCTGTTGGGACTTCCGGTTTGAAGGGCTTCGGCGACAGACAGGAATCCGCGATCGTGCGCGGTTTCTGCCTGGGCTCGCCGCGGGAGCTCCCCGAGCCAGCTGGCTTCGGGGCTAAGCCACCCTGTAGAGGTGGTGAAGAAGGGGGAGACTGCCAGCAGGGTTGAGGAGAGCCGCATCTCTCCTCCTCAGCTGGCCAAACTCCCTTTCCCGAAGGCAGTAGGAGCGGCGGTCAGAAATGGCCGCTTCAAAGAAGAACTCAACCGGAAAAGAAAGTGCAGGAGGAAGATAAGAAGTGAAAGTTTTCGCTGACCAGGTTAAGCTGAAAAAACAACAATTAAGGTACCCTGGAATTTAAATTTTACAAAAGATAACATCGCTCCCAAAGAAGGTCAGAAGCAGCGAAAGAAAGTAAAAAGGGAAAGGTTTTTTTTTCTTCTCTCTCCTTCCTTACATTGACAATTAAGAGATCGGAATAAGAAATCGGAAAAATCTGCTTTGGCATCAATACGCAATTAAGCTGAAAATATAACTAAATGCCAAAGGGACAATAAAGATTTCTGGAAATTAAAAACTTTTTCTTTTATAAGCAGGAAGGGAGAGGAAAAGAATAAGGGCAGGATCTGGAGGGAGGAGACTGCCTAGATTTCAAAAGAATCTAAAGTAAAACTTCAACAAGACTTCTAAAAGATACATTTTAACTGAGATTTTGCAACTAAATAGTAACCCCAGGAAGAGAAAGTGGGAAAAAAAGAAAGTGTAAAAAGAAACAGCTGTGTGTATTTGGACTGTCTGGTGACTTTTGGATTTTTGGTTATTATATTTGAACGACTAAAATCAATTGGGTGGTTGTTTAAATTTTTTTACAATGGCATCACTTCTGGATGAATTGAAAATGGAACTTAAAAAATACAAAGAAGATGCACAAGAAGGGAAGGGCTCCTTTGGCTTCGTTTTTCAATTCTTAGAAATGGAGATCTGCAACTACGAGAAACAACAAGAAAAGACTGCAAAACAAGAAGACTGGGACAAAGAAGAAGCCATCTTTAATGAACAAGTAACTATGTGGGGAAGAAAGGGGAAAGCGGGGAAAGAGAATGGAGAATTTACGACCTAAAAAAACAGCCAAAGAAGGGAAAAATAATTTGAAAAGTGGATATAATGTTGGAAAGCAACAGAAAAGGGGAATACAGAAGAGGGAAATGGAGGTGGAGAGAAGGGGGTAAAAAGGGGAGAGGGAAGAAGGAAAGGAAGAGAAGTTACAAAGGTTTGGAGCAAAATGTAAAGAAACAGGACCTATTTAGACATAATGGGTGAAAATCTAACTGAAAAAGGGATTCTGTGAAGGTACATAAGATTGTATTGTTATGTTTGTAATAGAAATAATTTTAGAAAATTGGAAACAACATATGATTAAAAAAAGGGATAAAGTAGTTGGTGTGCTTTGGGGAAATGTTTGTGAATAAAATAAATGAAATAAAATAAATGAGAAAATTGAATTAGGAAGGAATGGGAACATTTTAATTAGTCAATGTTTTATAAAATATAAGTGAAGAGGGGGGGAGAATTAACTATGGAAAGTTTATAATTGTTCCCATAGAAGTATGATATTTATTTGAAAAGAAATGTGCAAAATGTTAAGATCTAAATGAATATTAATATTAATGATAGAATTGAATTGGAATGGATTGTTGTTTTAATTATATTATACATGTATACTTTTTTTTCAAGAATACAATCTGTAGTTTTAGAATGTGCCAAGCAGAATCCGAATGGAAGTTATGTATTATATTAAGTGTTATAATTTTAGGGGAAAGATATAAAGGCGTCATACTCCAATCAGTGATTACAGGAGAAATTTTGTTTAATGAGAAAAGATAGTAGATAGTTGAAACAGGACAAACAAAGAATATAAGTACAATGATTTGAATTGAGATGAAATAAATAAAATAAAATTAAGAAAGTTAAAAGGGGAGAAGCTATGTAGAAAATGTAGAATAGTAATAAGATATGGAATGGAATATAAAAATGAGCATGAACTTGAATTTGTGTCTGTACGAAGAGATGTAACCCAGGATTATGCTGCTTTCAAAAAAGATGTTTTACTTGTATTTCTTTTCTTTTTGTGAAAACTCAAATAAAACTTACCAAAAAAAAAAAAAAAAAGAATGGGATTCTGTTTATGCCTGACAGTTATCAAATATGCTTGACAATACATCCAGTAGAAAGAATAAGATATTTACTGCTTGAATAGATGAACGTTGAACAAATATAGAAAGAAGTTCCCTGATGATGGGTTGTAGCACAAATCCGAGAGCTAGAAAAACTAAAACTGTCCTGGTGACCAACCCAGATTGGATCCTGCAACATTATCCTAGGACATATATATTTGCCTTCATTTGTGATGAACTTTTCAATAGAATTCTTGGGGAAAAGTCAGTTTTACTGTTTAGCTTCTTGCTTAAAGTTTGTGGACATATTCACCAAGTTAAACTTAAGAGCCCTTTTACCTTCACCATATTAAATGAACTTGTCTGATACATAAGGTACTAGTAATTTTAGCAATAGATAAATTGAAGGGGGAAAAATAACGTCCCAAAGAAAATACTCATGTACCTTTCAGCACTATGAATGTCAGTTGTGCTATCTTCAACTTTTTGTTTCACTGGCATCCTGCCATAAAATGAAAGGGAGACAGGAAAGGAATTTGGGGAAGTAAAGCTTGGGCATGGAAAGGGGAAGACAAATGGAGAGGGGAAGACAAGCTAACAAGAATCAGAGATGTCATACCGGAATAAACCAGCTGCCAATGACACATGGCTTGGGAATGGAATGAGAAACTACATTAAAAAGCACCAACATCAAAACTTCCCAAAAATTCAAAAAATAATATTGGACACTGTTGAACTGATTAAAGTGGAGGGAGAGCGGGGAAAGGGAAAAAGTGTAACGTTTGCGCGGGAATACCAGATCTAGCTTTACTTTCACTACAACCGCTTGACATTAGTTAAAAGAACCTATCACTTTAACAAAATGGAGTTGAGGGTCTTTCTTTCCTAAACATCCAAGTTGCAAGTCTGACAAGGTGCATGAACAAGTGTCGGAGATGATCAATATATATTGGGATCAGATTTTATTAAATAATTTAAATAATATAATCATAGCTAAAATTTAGGTAATGATTTTATCAACAAACATTTGTTCTCTTTCCCATTAAAAAAATCTAAAAACACTCAAAATGTCTTCATTGCTACTGTTTTCAAAACATATCCAAGCATAGGCAAGGGTATTATGTTAATGCAAACTACATTCATAAGATACTTAGGAAATCATGGAAAATTTGAATATTATTACAGGTTTTGAGTTATTCCTCCCCCTCCCCACTATTAAAGAACCTCATTAATATGTTAATATTTGAAATTCCATTGCATCACGTAATGTATACAAGAACTTCTTGTGGTTAGCCGGCAGCAGGTGCAATTGGTGGAGGAGGGACCGGGACTATCAGGGAGTGGACTGCTGCCTTCAGAAATGGTGGGGGCTGACAGCAGTGACGAGGTTTCAGAAGAACCTGTGGTAAGTGCACGTGAGCGCAGAATGCTTCGTAGGAGGGAACAGCTGAAGCTGCATAGACTCGGGAGTAAGGAGGCAATGTAATGGCCCCTCCCTCTAGGGAATACAAGCCTGGTTGCAAACGGTTTTTGCCTTTGCAGAAGGCAAAAAGCGTTCGAAGGGTTATGTGTGATGATAACAGACTTGATTTATTTGAAAGTTTTGCTAATTGGACTATTTGGCTGCAAGCCATTTGTTAACTACAAAGAGGTATTTGTAGAGTAAAACCCTGAACGTTTTTGTTCTCGGGGAATTCGGCAGGGTCAAAACAACTAATTTGACTTTGAAAAAAATATACAATAATGTTAAAGGCTTTACATGAGCCTCTGGAATGGGCAATCCATATTTGATAAGGACCCTGATGTATGTGATTCCCTAAAAAAAGTCTTGGTAATAGTGTTAGTTCCCTTTTAAAATAATATATATATATTTTACTGTGCCTGGATGACTAATGAAAAATAAAGTTCTTTGGATAAGAGGCTGTCACCACAAAAGGACTATTCATTGGAAGAGACTCATTACTAAGAAGGTAACATTAAAGAAGTATCCCATAGGATTGAAAATATGCTTCTGGTGGTCATGGGAATGTTTAGAATTCAGCTATTTGATTAGAGAAGGTATAAACAGTTCAGTATATTGTGTATATGTCAAGGGTCATGGAGCACACCAGTGCTAATATGACAAAAAAGTTAGTGCACCCTAGAAACCAAATCCAAACTTAAGTTGTTGAAATTCACCATGCTAGACAGTGTAGCTTTCTCTGATCTATCCCACAGATAAGACTGATTAATGTGTGAAGGAGACAGATGGCAGAAAGACAATTTATATTTGCAAGACACTGGGATATCTGTACATCTATAGCAGTGGTTCCCAAAGTGGGTGGTACCGCCTCCTGGGGGGGGTGGATGCCTTAGGAGGGTGCTAA